TCCCCGGCTGGAGTAAAGGATATGATATTATTTGCGCAAAGCTTGCCAATTTCGGAAAACATCAACAGCCCACTTCTCCTTGTCCTGTACTTTTGGACTTCGAAAGTTCGAGCACAGAAACTTCCTTTTGGCTACAATTTGGTGGTTGAAACTGATAAGACTTATCCCGGCGTAGATGCTTCATTCCACTTTTCAAACTTGAGACAGGAGGTCAATGCACAGTGACGCTGCGTCTGATTAAAAAGCTGCTGTTGCAAAAATCACAAAAACATCTTTCATGACACTGACTAAAAAACCTGTTCATTTTTTAACAGTTCAATGAAGCAAGAGAAAGCAAGAACCAACTAGAAGCATGATCTTTGTTTCGCTTTAATTTCGTGTTTATTTGTAATAAATTAGACCCTTTGGAGAAGCCATTTCATAAGCTCGGGCTTCGTGTTTCATCAGGGTTTCTAAACACTCGAATACAATAAAAGCACTCGGCCTGCTGCTGCGTTCATTCATCAGTTACCTCGTGTTTAGAAACCCTGATGAAACAGTCGCCTTCGTGTTACCTATAAAATGGACATCGATCTAGTTTGTTTCGTTTCTCTAAAATGTAATCAATTCGTCCAAACTTTTCATCGCTAAGTCTTCAACCAATTTTAATTTGGAACGGTACCTCAAAGTTATTAACGGTTATTTATATAGGTTTTTGAAGCAAAATAAGAAAGCTTTGTGAGGCAAGTGTCGACAAGTTTTTGCGCCGAAGTTACCCTTAATTCTTACTTGAGACTTTTAGATGTTTTCCTAGTGAAAGCTTTTGATTGGAAAAACTTTTATTGGACATTTTGGTGTACTGTATCGGAGAGCAGTCTTAGTTGTTAATTTGATTCCCGTCGCCGGTGCGACAAAATATAGGGCGTCTTTGAATATTCAGCAACACTTCACTTCAAGTCATGTCATAATTTATTCAGAGTAAACCTCCATTTCTTTGAGAGAAACAACCAGAGCGAAAAGCCGTTTCCACAATCCCTCCTCTTTAAACATTGTTAATCATTGAGGTTTACTTATCCACGAGTATATTCTCATCAAAATCAAAAGGGGACTGAGATGATTCATATCTTACTTTGTAGTAATCCTCATTTTGCTTGCCTGGCAGCGTCGCAAAAAAAGTAAAAGTAGTTGGTCGTGTTACTAAATCTTTTGTAGTTCTCAATTTCCACATATTCTTACAAGTTGCACACTGTAGGCGAAGTATAAAAGCGAGAAAACAAACAAAAATACTAAGTGAAAAACATAAAGAAATAAGTAACAAATACTAGCCTGTTAACAGCAATTTGATTGTTTTGTAGTAGTTTCGTTTTTTCTTGTTTTGGTATTCGAGGCTCGCATTTCGCTTGCTCTTTGGACTGAATTCAGAAGAAGAAGGAAATTCGTGAACAAGCGACCTCCTAAAGGAAAGCAACAGCGACAACAGCTCTGCTTCATCAGACATTTTCTACGATAAATAACCCTTGTATTTGTTTCTGTTAACTTTTACTTATGTATCGAATACACACTTGGAGTAAGGAAAATATTTTTGTTTTTTAAGTAGATTAGTCTTGCATTATAGCAACACCTTGCGGGGGTCAATGCTTGGGAAAAAATATGCATTCTTAAGCCACCAGATCTGTCGGTTCTCTAAATCATTTAATTCAGGGATTGGGATGACTTTGTAAACCTTATCGTAATTCGTCATTTTGTTTTCATTTTAGAGCGGTTGCAGAAGGGACAAGGTAATTTATTAGCTACCTACGATAATGAATCTTACTTTTATTTTGACAGTGTTTCAATATTCGCGCTTTGCAGATATTAGATATATTAGATATGTATGTATGTTTAATAAAGGCAATATACTTAGTTAAACTCTCCATAGTTTTTACTTCATTTTCTTAGAGCACATTCTATTGTGTTAGACTGATTGAAGCATCTTAGTATAAATGTATAACAGGCCTTGAGCTGTTGTATTTCTTTTTTTATTTCATGCTATCGTAGATCTACGGCATCGCTAAGGAATGTAAACAATTTTCTATTTTCTTAACATTCCCAGACGATACGGTAGATCGGCGAAAGCTTAGAATAAAAGAGAAATACAGTTGCGCAATGTCTCAATCGAATCGTCCACTTGCCTGGTTTCTACGGCCTATAAAATATGGACATAAATTACTGTTTCGCTGTGTGCCCATTTGAGCTGTAATTGGACCTGGATTTCCACTAACCATAGCATTTTTTAGTTTTGTTGTTGCAAGGAAGATGAGCCTGCTGCTTTATCAGGCATTTCTGCGATAACTAACCCTTGCATTTGTTTCTGTTAACTTTTATTTATGTCTACAATACACTGTTGGAGTTAGGATAATACTTTATTTTTTTTAAGTAGGTAAATTAGTCTTGCAATATAGCAACACCTCGCGGGGGTCAATGCTTGGAAAAAATCATGCGCTCTTAAGCGACCAGATCTATAGGCTCTCTACATAATTGTATTGAGGGATTAGGATGATTTTACAAACCATATCGTAATTAGTTCTTTTGTTTTCATTTTAGAGAGGAAAAAGAGCCGAGAAGGTAATTTATTTGTTATCTATTTATTTTGACCGTGTTTCAATATTTACTCTATACACTACACGTTGGATATGCATGTATGTTTGATAATAGCAAATATACTCAATGATACATTGACTTTCAATTCCTTTATTTGATAATAGCTCATTCTATTGACTTAATCTTAATTAAGCATCGTATTATAAATTTACAACAATGGCAACAACAAAAAGAAAACACATTAGAATAACGCAGCTTAACGCTAAGAAATAAAGCTGAATCGTTCCCCGACTGCAAGATGTGCATCTCTGTATTACCCTCTATAGATAGAACTAAACTGATTAGTCTTTAACGGCTCATATCTGTGTGAACTAGCTGCTAACGGTCAAATGTTACCCGATAACAGTAATGGGAAATAATGCTGAGACTGATTAAATAGTATTGTTAACGCAATCAAGTCGTTTCTTGACTTCAGCAGGATCTGACTTAAAAGTAAAACTCATTTTTAATTATACACCGAAAGCGCCCGCAGTCGAAAGCCATATCAAACTCTTTCCCCAGTGCGATGAATATTTGTTTTTCTCGGTTCCAGGTGTACGCAACCACTAACCCCACGTAATGCGCATGCTCTCCGTTAAAAAAGGGCGGACAGGCCAAAGAGGGAAATAAAAAAAAACAAAGCGATTTTCCAATGAATACTCAACATACACCCTCGTTAGAAAGGCGCATCTACGGAAGAAAGATACCAGACTATATGATATTGAGATCGATATGATATTAAATCGATACCGAGGGCCCGTTTACAACTTGCTAAGAAGTGCATTTAATTGCCTTCCGCCACGATTACTAGCTTTCTTGACAGCTTTCTGAAGACAGAATACTTTCTTTCTGAAGAATTCTGATATGCAGCTATTGATTATTACACCTTTTATACCTGATTGCTCAAACACTTTGTTTACGATTGTTGAAAGGACCGACTCATGGTTCTCCGTCTTAGTCTTTACATTGCTTTGAAATAGTATAGATTAGTAAGCTGAAACGAAAAATTAATAGGGAAGTTTACGAAAAAACCAGCAAACAAGCTTAAAAAAGGCATTTATTTAGACCTCATACTTCAACGAACTTCACAAATCTTACTTGTTTATCTTGTAAGTAAACGATGGCAGATTAATTGCCGAAGCGCTTTCTGAGTTTCCCGATCCCTCTCCTGCTGCTTTCACGCTTAAAAAACAGGAATCAAAACAAAGGAAATTTGTTCCTCTTTTTGATTCTGGCGGTACATTTTTAATGTGCGCCTGCATAAAGGAGATATCGCCTGAGACCCTTCGCTCGGTCGTGTTTTGACCAACAACGCCTTGTTAATTTCAGGCAACCGCTCGTAGAAAAGGTAAAAATGACGAGGGAAAAACTTTACCTTCAAGTTAGAAAATTAGCGAAATAGAAAGCCAAAATATTATAGTTTAATATTTCAGAGGTACATTGAGAGCTTTTTCCGTAGAGAATCCGCACGATGGTAAAACATTCGAAAATTACACTCGATTTGAGTGGAGTGTTGAAGTGGGCGTGATCACTACATTCGTGTTAAGACTATTTGTACCCCATGAGTTTGATATGGGAATAAAAGAGAAACTTAGTTGCCCAACGCCTCAATCGAATCGTCCGCTTGCCTGGTTTCTAAGACCTATAAAATTTAGACATAAATTACTGTTTAAATTACTGAGCTGTAGTTGGCCCCGGAAACCCAATTACCATCGGATTTTTTAGTTTTGTTATTGCAGGGAAGATGAAGCTGCTGCTTTATCAGACATTTCAGCGACAACTAACCCTTTCATTTGTTTCTGTTAACTTTTATTTATGTATACATTACACTTATGTATACATTACACATTAGCGCAATCAGGTAGTTTCTTAACTTCAGCAGAATCTGACTTAAAAGTAAGTTCATTTTTGATTATACGCCGAAAGTGCCCGAAGTCAATATGAAGCTAATTTTTCATTCTGATTGGCCATCTGAGCGGGATCACCCGCTTTGATCCCACGCAATGAGAAATTTGCGTGGAGCGGGATGAACTAAGGTCGTTATTTTCGGACATGTCGGCGATGGAATCGCAAATAGCCTTTATTGACCGAAGTTGTTCGATCTAGGTGTCTTAAAGTTAGCCTCATTTTTCTTTCGTTGCGTTTTTGTGGACCTTAACTTCGTCTCGTTCCATAAGAAAACGCATGTTAAGAACTCAGCCACGCTTGATCATTAACACTTATAATCGCTATGTTGCACTAATTACCATTTTTGAATATTTGCAAGTATACATATACGTATGAGAAATATCTCAGTACATGAGAGTAGCATTATATTTTAAATACAACCTACCCCTCTTCAACTTACATAAGACAGCCACAGGTTATTATACCTGCTAACGCATAATTTAAAAATTGCATCCTTAGCCCCTTTGGAAATTTATGCTCGAGGTCCTGAAGCTGTTGAGGCATACAACAAAGCCTTAACGAGAGGAAAGGCCTGCATCAAGAGAATACCAGTGATGTTCATCGGACAGGAGCGGACAGGAAAAACTAGTCTAAAAAAGTCCTTAAAAGGAGAAAATTTCAACGAAAAAGAGGAAAGCACAATCGGAATAGAGACTAACTCTTCGTACTTTAAAGTATCAAAAGAGATTTGGAAAAGCGGAAAAGTGAAGGAAGAAGTAGAATTTGAATCAGAAGATCAATTTGAACACATAGCAGCAGCGAAAGTGATCGGTGAATTTTTAAGGGAACAAAGGACAACTTCACCGTGGATTGTGCCAATTTTGAAGTTTGACTCAGAGTCAGATTCAGAGTCAGAATTAGAGCCTCCGGATGGATCAATATCAACTCGAAGCCCAACTAAGCTCTCAAGAAATATCGAGTCCTTACACAGAAAATTGCCCGAGGAAGTGGCCAGGCTGGTTGAAAAAATGCTTCAAGAGGAAGAAAGTGCAAACCACGAAGATAACATCTACTCAGTTCTGTGGGATTTTGGTGGACAATCAGTGTACTACGAAACCCATCCAATTTTCCTTACGGATAAAGCTATCTATATTTTGGTGTCTGATTTGAGTCGTGATCCAGGCGAGAAAGCCACCCCGCCTGTCAAAACAGGACTTTTCGAGAACAAAGAGGACATTGACTGCAGTAAAACGAACCTTGATTATCTGGACTTTTGGATGTCATCAATTTATTCCTTGGTAAGTCCGGATGAGAATTCCAGCTCCCAAGAGACCGCTTCGAATGTTAGTCATGTTTTGCCATGGAGGCTTCCCCCAGTATTCCTGGTATGCACCCATGCTGACGTGCCGTTTCGTGGATCTAACGCCAGAGACCTTGCTCTAAAAACGTATGGCTTTTTGCAGTCCAAGATCTACAAGGAACATCTGTATAAAGATGTTTTCGTCGTGGATAATACAAAGTCTGGGAGTGAGGAAGAATGTATCGAAGTTAAGCGACTGAGAGAAGAGATCCTTGCTGTTGCAAAGGAACTGCAGCTGACGAAAGAAGAAGTTCCGGTGAGGTGGTTGAGGTATGAAAACAAGCTTCGCAAAAAGCATGATAAGTGGATAACACTTGAAGAAGCCAAGAGGATTGCATTTGAAGATTGTGGAATTCAAAAAAAGGCTGAGTTTTCCACTTTATTGAATTTTTTGCATGATCAGAGAATTGTGATTCATTTTAGTGGCTCTCCAGAGTTGGAAAGGATGGTGATATTAGATCCTCAATGGCTTGTTGATGTCCTCAAAAACGTAATTACTGTAAGGCGTTTTAAACACACGGAGCATGCTGTCAAAGACCTCTGGATCCAACTGGAAAAAACCGGAATCTTGGATGAAAAACTCATTGACCATGCTTGGAGTGACTTGCTCGAAAACCAAGAAAGTCACAACAGCCTCATTGCCATCATGGAGAGATTATGCTTGCTTTCTCCCTGGCCGTCGTCTAAAGATAGCAAGCAGTACCTTGTGCCGTCCATGTTGATGTCACCCCCAACAGATGACGTCCTTCAGCTTCTCGATTCTGTAAACATTCCATCTCTTTTTGTAACATTTGCATCAGGTCGAGTACCTCCTGGTCTATTTTCCCGACTTATCCTACATTTCCTCCAGTGGTGTGGCGAAGAATGGAACAGCGAAATGAGCCCACGGTTGTTTCATAATTTTGCCATGTTTCACATTCTTCCAGACCAAGGTATCTCTGTCATTTTTTGGTGCCATCCCTCAGCCGTTGAAGTCGCTCTTTATAGCGTTGACAATGACGAGAAAAGAGTAGATATATCCCGTGCTGTTCCCTGGAAATTGAGGTTTATACTCGAATGCATGCGGAAAGAGTTTCACTGGCTCAACAACGTGAAGTACAATATGTGTGTCTGCTGCCCAGTCTGTTCTCAACCAGGGTCGGTAAAATGCCGCGATCATAACGTGCGTGGATGTGAGTGTCTACACTTTCTGTCAGAATCTGATTTGCGAGAGCGTCAACATTGCAACAAGCCAGGACGTATCCTTCCTAGAGATTGCAGGATTCGGATCCAGCAGTTCAAATGCTGGTTCTTATTTGGAGAAGAAGAGGAAGGTGCCAGAATGTCAACGAATCAGGTACGTTGCCAGTCTCATCTTTGGGTTGATTAGAACTAATATTTTGGGTTAATATAACGCTAATATTTTTTAGATTCAGTGTCATTTTTTAAAAGTAGTTTAAAAGTGGATTTAATTTGTTTTTTAGCAGCTGCAAGCTCTTCACGCAACGAGTCGAGGCTCCTTCAGTGCAAAAGGCATATTTTCCGTAGAAGGTAAGGGTCCTTTTTTTCATGTCATTATCACATAATAAAAATGTCCGAGTTAAAAATGTTTTGTAAACATCACTTCTCGTATAATTTTTACAGAAATTAGCGTAAAATGATCTCTCCTAAATCAGACTTTTAACCAACTCAAAAGTTTGGGCCTTAGCAAATTACATTCCGTCGGCTTAACTCTGTCTTATTGCAATTTTTTTTTATTATTTCAATTCGTTCTAATCATTTTCAAGGAACGAAACGGAAAGATCTTGCGCTGCCCGAGAGTATCAATACTTCCATCCAGTCCATTCCACTCAATTCAGCAAGTGATGTCAAGGATATTGTGATTCAGTTTCGAGAAGCTCTGCAGTTGGAACCAGCATGTTTGGTCGGTCCAGAGCCTGAGACGAGAATTATGATTCGTGCCCTTGCCCTGAGAGCTAAATCTGAGAAACGGGATGATTTGGTGAGACACTTACGAGAGATTACGCCTGCTGGTACTACTGGTGAGTTTTAAAAAGATGATTTTGTTTTTCGTTCGGGGGAGAGGAAATAGGTTTCTAAGATATAAAAAAGTACTCACACAAGTGTCCTCTCAATGCAACATTATAATAACGTTAGCACATGCTTGATTTTATTGTGTGGTTGTTTTCGTTGTTGATCCCCTTTTGACCTGCTCTAATATTTATATATATATATGTATATAAATATTAAGAGAGGGAAAAGGGACGCAACTTTTTCCCTCTCATAATATTTACTCTGCTCTTCTTCAACGTATTGAGCACTGTTCCACGCGAGAATCAACTTGCAGACTTCCTATATATGTACATATATATAACTAACTGCAGACAGTACTTTTTAAGCCTTCTGGGCTTTATCAGTGCAATGCGTTAGAATGGAGGTAAGGAATATATGCACCCCAAGTGATCTCACACATGTGGGATCATCTAAGCCATGCCAGAGTGCTCAAACTAGAATAACTAGTGAGCATGCGCAATGCTAGCAGCAATGACTCATCCTAGTAGAGTGCTCAATTTGGACATGAAAGCAAAGCTTTGTATGCCAAAGAGCTATATCTAACTGCAGACAGTACTGTTTCGGCCTTCTGGGCCTCATCAGTGCAGTATATATATATATTTGTTTGTTTGTTTGTTTTTTTTTTGTTTTTGTTGTTGTTGTTGTTTTGGTTTTAAGTTTTCTAAAATAAATTCTGCTATATTTATCTTCTTTTATTGTTTGTTTGTCTCTACAGGACCGTTGCTGAATGACGATATGTCAGTTGGTTGCATGCCACATGAACAATACAAGGATTTGACATTCAGCCTCTCCGGTAAGGAATTAGGTCGGCTTCCGCACACCCATTTATTCATTCTAGTTGCAACTTTTGATTGAACTTCTAGGTTGTCTTCTCTCGACTCTCAAAATGGCTCTCGAAAAAACTCGGACCTTAACAAGATTTGATTTTGCAGATGCGCCTCGAGATCATATTCCGGTTAGATTAGTTTATAACTAACTAAGTTTCGTTAGCTTCCGTCAAACCCTTTCCAAAGGATGTGATAGCGATAATTTAGACCAATTTGGAGGATATCGGGCTCTATGCCATTTGACCATGAGGCCCACAATAGGGTTTGGTTTGAGGTTAAAATCTTTTTTTTCTTTTTGTAACACAATTTATAAAAGACCATAATATGTTTTTATACGTAGTTCGAGGGAGGTGGAAACTGTTGGCAGAAAGGCTGGGTTTCTCCCAAATCGAGATGTGCTTTTTAGATGAGAGAGTTGTGAATCCTTCTGACGTTGTTCTTGGCGCTGTGGCAAAGCATCGCCACCTGAGTGTTGGAGAAATCTATGACACATTGGTCGACTGCGAGCTACCAGTTATTGCAGATCTAATGTAAATGAATTAGAATATTATGAACAGCGGACAAAGGTGAGCGACACAGCAAGAAGCAGACGCGAAAAACAAGTCAGCAGCCGACGACTTATTAGCAAAACATATATGAAATATTGTATTTCCTGAATTTTGCATCAAAGTGTGAGAGCCATAATCTGTGTTAGGCAACAATTTTTAGCAGTTTTAGAGTCACTTACAATCACACTTGTATAAAGTAAAAAGAAAAAGTTATAGATCGAATTTCAAATTAAGCCTTCGTTCATCTCGTGGTCAGATAACAAGCTTTCTTTTATTAGTTTTCCATTTGGATGCTATACTAGTTTTTTCTAATATTTGAATAGATTGATTTTCGTATAAAACGTTTGTTAGATGACAAGAAGTAGTATCACGACTTAATCAAGCTTAAAAGCAGAGCTCCATTTTTTTTTTGGTTTGTTTGTTGTTTTTTTCTGCCTTCAGTTAATATGTACGTAGAAGGTTTGGCTGGGGTAGTTTGTGGGGAAAAAATCGGTAATCCAGGGTATTTTGTAGCAGTAAGAGGGTGGGAATTCTTTGTTTCCTCAATGTATAGGGGATTTTGTACAATAACTCATCGTAAAATGAGCTTATAGGCGGTATAATGACGAGTGGGTCAAAACAGAAATAAAAACCCTAAGAGGAGGGCACTTGCATTTTTCAACAAATTCTAAAGCCCGAGCTTAAGTAGTTATCGTTCAAATACAAAATCATTTTGTATTGTGGCAGTAAAGAATAGGTTCAAAATAACTGAGATCCCAAGAGCATCTTGATCTGATTGGTCAAAAACCTATTGTTCATTGTACAAAAGCAATAGTATAGACCGCACTTCTACCGGTTCACCGGCGTTGGGATGTTGTTACGTCGGGAAAACAAGGACTGTTGGGAGAACACTCGAATAGGTTGTTATACTCACACGCCTCCGGATCGTGATGTATAAACTTATTTATCATTCTCCCAAATCCTGCCAGGGCCATGACGCCGATAAACCGATAGAAAGTGTGTGGTCTACTTTCATAAACATGAAGCCAGTTTGGTTTGATTTACAGCAATCATTGTATTTGAAACGGAAGAACTACGGCGAAGGACTAAGCCGGGTTGATTTATCTCAACTAACAGTGGTAGCCTTGGTTAGGGTGCGGCAGTCTTCCACACATTTTCTTTGTTTTACAGCTAATTCAATGAAATTTTTAGATGCACCAGTCATTCTAATTTGCCATTTGTAGCGAACAACGAATTTTTAGATGGTGAGCACATGATGAAATAATCCAGTTTTGCATTACATTTATGTCTACATGGCTATGGTTTTGGTGCTAATTTCTTTATTTTTGAGTGTTTCGTGCAAGTAATTAAAGGAAAAAGAACAAAGAATGTTCATTAGATCGGAATATTGTTACAACATAATAGCAGGGACTTACGGTGCAGGGAAGGGATAGGATCTTTTGCTTAGGAGTTCGAATAAGTAACATACAAGACTCGTTTGAAAGATAGTCGTAACTAGTAAGTTTTTCCTTTTATTCAGCATCGAAAAACTTTCTTGAAACGCGGAGCTCGAATGAAGTGACAAGGTTTCCTTGTACATGTAATGTTTCTGTATTGGTATCCAGTTCTCATATTATCTTGACAAATTCACTGTTAGAAAACAATGATTTCGTAGTTAGTAACACATGTACGCTCTGAAATTCGCTTCTCGGGTTAATGGAAGAATAAGACGGATTTTGTTTCAGAGAGGAAAAAACTTAGTTGAACATCAGATTAATCTTTCAGATTGCAGTTACCCATTTATACTCTTAGGTAGAGAAGGACGTTTTGAGAGTGAACTGCACTATTGAAAAACAATGATTGTTGTAGTTAGTAATACTCACTGAAATATATTAAATCATCGGTTGTGCACGAATCAGTTTTGAGTGTAACTACTGTAGCAACACATCTTATCTTCCCCTTGACCTATATGTATGCCTTGCATGCCAATGTAAAGCCAAAATAAAATCGTGTGTGTTTTTAGCTTGACATGTGATTGAATGAGAAAATTAGTAAATCTTAGTTGGCTGGAAGAAAGTGAAAGATGTAGTTGTACAATTTTTCCTTTTCCATTTTTCAGATTCCCTTTTTTAGCCGTGGTTAACCATCCATACTCCTGAATAAAGAAAGACGTGATGAGAGAAACGTGTCTCCCATAAAACACAATGAACTGAACAGGGCAACTGAAGCTCTTCACCGCCCCCCCTCCCGCCCCCTTCCACATCTTCCCCACCGGTGCCAAATTCAGTTAAGGCCTTTCTCGACCTTTCATTCCAGCGTTTAGCCATTGCTGATCATAAACCAAATTCAAGATGACTGTTTTTTATTACCCTTTTTATGTAAATTGTTACAAGAGTTAACTTAATCTTTCCCTTTTTCCTAAACTAGATTTTTTTTTAAATTGATGTACATAGTTTTTCACGATAACTTAATGAATCTGTTTATTCTCAATGTTTGAAAACCTTCCGGTCCACCAGCTGAAACTACCCGGTGAATTCAACGAATTAACGAACGATAAAAATAAAATAAAAAAAATTGCCTAAGCATTGTATCCAGAACTTAATTAGTTTTTGTAATTTTATATCAATAACTGCGAACTGCGATTCGACGGGGAGTTGGACAGTCAAATTGAAGTAACCCAAATGAACGATACGACAAAGAGAAAAAATACCAATGGCATACGTTTGTTATTCTTCACAACCCTGCCGATAAACTTCAACTCGTACTAAGGACAGCGCTGACTTAATTCAAAAGCTCTGGTCTGAGTAATTCATGAAAACATAATTTTTTTAAATTGTGGCTCACATTCTAAAATAATAATAAAAGGACCCCACTCCGACCAGGAACTAAGTTGGCAGTCAACTGGCCCGAGTCCACCGCAACGCCAAGTTCCCCCTACATATGACATATATATTTAGTTTGAAAGGAAGATATGCCAGTGTTTCGAGTGATTTCCGTAAAACTCCGGAAACAGCTAAAGAGGATAAGGAAATATGTTATTCGTTGAAACGAGAAAGTTATGCGATCGTGTTGCGCATGTCTTGGAATCATATTTGCTATACAACACGGCGGAAAATGAAGGTTGGAAAGTTCGTGTTCAGTGAATAAATCATTCGTCTTTAATTTCTAATATTTATTATTGCCGTAGGCGGAATAGGTAGTAAAAATTAACCCCACAGTTTCACCAAAGCAAGTACAAGTGCCGTGTTAAACGCTTCCACCACAAAGGTAAGTACTGTATTTCACAACCCAACCATTGATTACCTTTTCTTAACCGCGAGGTCGCGTAAAATCACATGTACCTAATGTAACTAATTCAATGGCACGCAATGCGTGCAAACAAGACAAAGTATTGAAAAACAAAAACAAACAAACAAACAAAATATCAATGTTCAGTGGCGACAACAAGATTTAATCAATTTGATACCCTTGTCTTCTTTGGCAGTTCAGTTCCTCATTTGAAAGTATGGGATACTTTAAGTCTCATTAAGTTCAAATACGCTACAGTCTCTAAACTTCACTACCGTTTCAATTGTAAGGGCGCTTAGAAAACGTAATGATTAGATCCACGCTGGTCTTGACTGATTTTCACAGTCTTTTTTTTGTAACATTTCGCAGACTTCACTAACGTTTGCACTACGCAGTTACCCAAGCATTCTAGGCAGAAAAAAACGTCGTCTGTGAGCCCTAATAGCAGTTTGAATTGTGTGTATTGGCCTTTGAGTGCTAGGATACAACATCACAGTGTGTTAGAGAAATGATTTGCCGTTCAAAGGTAAGAGCAAACATGATAAACAGTTTATTCGTTTGTCTTATAATGTAGTCACTAGAGATGTAGATCGCGACGTTTCGACTGCTTACTGCCAGTCTTCATCAAGCGATGGGGTCGGCTCCTTACCATTTGTATCATGGTAATCTAATGCGATTGGCGGATTTCGATCCGCATTGATACAAATGGTAACGCTTGAGCAGTCGACCCCATCGCCTGATGAAGATTAGCAGTAAGCAGTCGACACGTCAAGATCTACATCTCGTGTAACAACATCGTGAGACAAACGATTAAACAGTTTATTGTTACTTACCACCACGAAGAGCATAACCTCTTTTACGATAAGAACAAACATGTTAATGTGGGGTATGTCGTTACGATGTGCAGAGATTGGATGGTTTCTGTTTGTACTGTCATAAACACAGTCCTATTTCATTAATCATTCTCAGTCAGAGAGAGAGACAAACGTCGTGAGACAAACGATTAAACAGTTTATTGTTACTTACCACCACGATGAGCAATAACCTCTTTTACGATAAGAAAAAACATGTTAATGTCGGGTATTTCGGTACGATGTGCAGAGATTGGATGGTGTCTGTTTGTACTGTCTTAAACACAGTCCTATTTCATTAATCATTCTCACTCAGAGATTAAACAGAACCACACCAGCAGTATTACAACAATAGAAGTCTTGACCGAAAACATCTTTGGTATACCTTATGGAACTACCTTTCACAGTTGTGATCAAAACAAACTAAGCTCCATACAAGAAAGTAGACGAACTTGACGCTTAGTGAACTGGACTTCGGAATTTGCTTGCGAAAGATCGCGAGGAAGTCAGACTACAACTCTCTGACAAGAAGAATGCCGACGGCACTCCAATAGAACCAAACCACTAGTGGCATAATTCTTACTTAAAACAAACACATGAGCTGAAATTAAGATCTACTTCATTTGAAAGGATTGAAAAAAAAGTGTCTGTATCACTGTTTATCCCTTCAAAACTTACGCTGCGAATATAATATATTCAGCGTATAAATTCGACGTAGCGAGGGTTAGCCCGTAGCTCTGACGAACAAATTATCTTTTCCAACAATGACTACATAAACTGTGACAAATCAACGAAAACCAGAGCACGTCAAGGGTACCATTCATAAATTTTACAGACCCAGTATTGGCTACTACGCATTGTGTGTCTCTGTTTTTGTCATGCTTTTCACGAGAGCGAGGTTGCATTGTTTCTCCGAAGCTTGTGGAATAAAATATAATCAACTTTGAGCTGATGGCCGCCGATAGCCAACGCCGCGCGCAATGAATACTGGTCAAAAATGGGTCTTTAACACCAGCATTAATGATATGAATAACGACAATACATAAACATGTTGGCCTTTTCCCATCAATATGATTTCAATTGCAAATTGCCATGTTGCGCCTAACCGAGGTCGAGCCAGTCAAGATTTTTTTATAGGGCGTTCGATGTGTATCTCCTAGATGAAATCCCTGTCTTGATCCAGTTTCTGTAAGATTTCGGAAGTATGATCACTGTGGAAATTACAGCTGTGGTGATACTAGTTGCCACGCTCGCCTTCGCACCATCTTTTGACGCCCAGTCTCGAAGGCGTCGTAGATCATGCACTCCACGAAATTGCCAGGTCAGCCATTGGTCTTCATGGAATCCGTGCAGTACAAACCAGTGTGGTCAACAAGGGTCTCAGAGTCGATCAAGAACGGTGGTCTCCTCACCAGGTTGTGGAGGAGCACAGTGTCCTAATCTTCACGAGACACAGCAATGTAACGGCAGTACACCGATGAACTGTCAAGTGAGTCTTTGGTCACTTTGGAGTGGGTGTAGTGCTGACAAATGCGGACAACAAGGGACCCAAAATCGATCAAGGACGGTGGTATCCTCCAAAAATTGTGGAGGAGCACAGTGTCCTGACCTCCACGAAGCGCGGCATTGCAACGGAATTGCGCCAGTTAGTTGCAAACTAAGTGCTTGGTCGGATTGGAGTACTTGCAACACAGCGTGTGGCACATCAGGGACACAGACTCGCTCTCGTCATAAGAAAATCTCTGAGCAATGTGGTGGTACATGTACATCTAACTTCTCCATAGCACGATCCTGCCCACAGATTAGCTGCTTGAACGGAGGGAGTTTGAAGGATGGTAAATGTTTCTGTAAAGAAGGTTACTCCGGATCTTGCTGTGAGCATCATGGTAAGAAGAGATTCAGTATAAAGCAATCGTTTGTAGAAAGTAAAAGTAGCAAATTCAATTTCACACTCTTAAGCAGATCATATGAAGTTATAAAAGGAGTGGGTTTCTATAACTTTGGTGCTGCGTCGGTGGGAGAGTATAACAGGGTAATTTAGCAATATCAAGAAGTTGATATCGTAAATTGGCCACCGTAAAGAGTTTCAAAGTTTTCAAAGCTGACGTTTCGTCTTTCACCCTGACGAAAGGGCTAATGCTCAAAACGTCGGCTTTGAAACTCTTTACGGTGGCCAATTTACATTAACCGAATTCTTTGATTATGCTGAATTACCGTATGAAATTATACTGGTTCTTTGCTATTGATTGTTTCATTTGAGTAACAACTAGCCTGAGGAGTATAAGGTTTATTTCACAAGCACTTTAAACTACAAAGCTGATTATGCAACACAAACTATTCGGCCATCAAAAGGAAGCTCATTTTTTTGTCTGTCCATCTGACTGTCTTTTTTTTTTGCTTTGTTTTGGGTTTTTTTGAGGAAGAGATGGTGCTCTATTTTTTTCCAGGCATGTTATTCATGGACGCTAATATTATTTTGCTTGTTATTCTCTGTTTTGGTTGAAATATCAATTGATTTTTTTCTTCATTATTCACACTTAATATGTAAATTTCGTGTCCTGGTTGTATTAAGCTCGTGATTCTTTAGGGAATTGTTCTTTCAACTTTGTTGAGTTAATCCTTTCATTCTTGTTATTTCCTTCACTCTTTATTATAGTAAAGGCAGTTACACCTCACGAAATCTAGGTCGTCTGGCTCTAACTTCCCGAAAACTATATTCAACAACAGTTCCCTTTAGAAGCTTTTCCTTAGTCATCCCAGCGACATGAGCTTTTTTCAAACTCTTGTTTGTCGAGCTGCTTTTAGTTTCATTTTCCAGTTGAAAATAACCCAACCCCCTTCCCCACGCGTCATATAATCAGATATAAAAAAAATGAAGAAATTTGTTTATCATGGAAATTTCCACGGGAGTCACCAAAATAGCCTAGGAAGTCTGGGTGCAGTGAAATTTACGACGTCGGTACATATTGTGTCGAGACTTGACATTGGTGTGAATCAGGTTTAGAAAGGACAAATGATAGATTAAAAGTAAATATGTTGAAAAGTTCAAGATTTCTATATATTGCAGTCACGGTGTAGTTTAACCGATAAAAGAATATGGTTGTTCAAAATTATCTTAAGGAAGAAACTGCAGTTATTTAACTGTACTTGATGAGATAATTGAATTACAAAGGAGCGATTTCTAAACCACACAAAGTATTATAATCTAATTCCAGTCCATTACTGACTTAAAAGGGTAATTTAATATTATCAACTGGGTTGATAACGTTAATTGGCCATCGTAAAAAGTTTTAAAAGTGACGGTTCGAACGTTAGCCCTTACACTCTGACGAATGACTCACGCTCGAAAAGTCGGGTTTAAACTCTTTACGGTGGCCAATTTACGTTATCAACTCGGTTGATAATAATAAATTACCCTGTTGTACTCTCCTACCGACATAGCACCACAGCTTCTTTAGAAACTTACCCCCTTTACTACCGCCTTAAGCTTCAGTGATCATGCACTGACTCAAAGTTATAATAAACGCAGCTCTCCAAATCTATTTTGAAAACCCGAAACACATCAGAATAGTTCTCTGTATCTTCTCCCTGCCTTTGCCGTCAAGCAGCAATCGCTAAGGGATGACTAAGTATTTTTATACTTTCTCTGACGTATTGAACGCTTACAAATGTTTTTTTGGGCTTCTACATTTACGTCATAATTGCCTCAAGACAGTTCCAAAGTGTAATATCAGAAAACACTGTTTTCCACTTTACATGACCAAAGCTTTCTCAAAATTACCAGGTATTTCTTTTTATCAGTTACTCTCTATTACAGCGTCGCCTTCGATTTCTTTTGATTTTTCTTCCGTAAAATTGTCTTTTACAGATGCATCTAGATTGAATCATCTTGGGGCTATTGTTGGTACAACTTGTGGAGGATTTATTTTACTCTCTGTATTGTTTTGTATTGCATATATTATCCACGGTTGGATTGTTTGGAGACCCCAGCGAAGGATCGAGCCGTTTACTATTGTTCACTTTCAGTCACAGTCAGAAGTTGTGGATTTTTACAATTTGCCGGGTAAACCAGGAGTATCAATGCAACATTGAAAATAGCTTTTTGGAAGTAGCATGGGAACAGCAGCAGAGCGACCTAAAATGAGGTCACGAAATAAAAAAGGACCTGGATGAAGTCGGGACGAATATCTTTCTCCAATCCTCATTTCATCACGGGGCACTTTCTTACCCTCTGAACGATTTAAAAATGCAAGCCCATTCAAACCCACCCGTCTCCTTAAAAGGGGAGGGAACATTTTTGATTAGCCGTTGATAATCGCCATATGGAGTAATTATAAATAAATCAAAATTTGCCTGGCACACCCTCGGTCAACACAAGTGACGTCCATCTTGCCTTAAAGAGCCTTCGACATTTTTCCGAGTTTTACAGGGGCACGGTGGGGAAGACTGCTCTTAGGCCAGAACAAATATGGATACGACTTGGTCTGGTCACTTGAAATCGCTCTTACTTAATTAATTTTTGTTTTCATTTAAAATTGTGATAATAAGGAAAATGCCCTGCATCTTCAGACAAAGACTTGCACTAGATTTGAATTGGTCATGATCTTGTAAGTGAAAAGACTGTTCTTTTGAACGACAGCGGTGTTGTTTGAGTAAGAAATTTTATTTTGTATATTTGTTAATTACATTAATGATGTACTTGTGAAAATTGCAGCAAGCTCAATGGCTGAGAGAACGCAAATTAATTCCGAACAAATTATAAAGTTGTCATTGGGCGCAAAAACAATTTGAAACTGAGGGCTGAAAAGTTGAAATGAAATTCATTTTGTATAGAAAGATATCAAATTAATTCTCACACAATTTGGAAAAGGTAAGCACTCGACTATGACCACGCATATATCATACTTTTTAATCTTTGCCTAGTTTACTCGTGTTTGTTTGATCCCAATTGCTCTCGAGATCATTCGATTAACTGATAACTGAAAAATACAATCCCCCAACAAACATAAAACAACTCTTAACTAGCCTTTTATCACTGAGCTCATTGAGAACTGTGAATTCATATGAAACCTCTTTAGGTCTAAGCAGATTCCTAAAGCACTTTCTTTGTATACGTAGGGTCAAAACTAAGATGGTCTGTTCGAAAGTGACACCATTTTCAGACTACAAGCATATAAGAGCTTTCCAAGAGAAAAACCAGGGCAAGTAACTCAGTTCTGAAGCAAAAATATTTTTCTTTGTCACTTTGTTGTTGTTGTCGTTGACACAAGATATTTATGAATATGGCAACAACCGACTGAAAAATAGAATTACCTGATACATTCATTGTTGTATGCAGTAAAAGTGACACCATTTTCCATGGATGATATATAAAAGAAAAACCCTCTCAGTAAAAAAAATGTATAAATTAAAGTACGGGTTTGGAAGTTAGAGCAAAGCATCCTAAAAGAAAAATATTACGGAGTACCACGTGAAAGCTACGCTTCGACAATAAAAAGCAGCTCAAAACGTTATGTGGTTTAAACTGATTTAAGGCGAAGATAAACTAACGCCTCGTGCGAACTCGAACAATTATCCGATCGAGATCCCTAACCAGCTTACCACTAAAGTGCGTTTGCACTTTGGTTTAGTCTTTGGTGGCATTTCATTACTTATTTCGTCGGAGAAATAAAGGCCCGGGCTCAGTTCTTACAAAAACAACGATAACAACAATAACCGCACAAGCAAAAGAAGAGGAGGCTAAAACCACCAGACAGCGACACGCCAAGGGTGACTGAGAATGAGCCTGTGTCTGTTTCTTCATCTTCATCTGTAAAGGAGAAGAAATATGATAAGCAATGAATTCACCAAGATCAACAAGGAAGTCATTTGAATGATCAGTGACCCAATTCGGCGCTTCAAGCAATAAGGTAAGATTAAAAAAAACTTTGTAGAATTTTCTTTGAAATGCTGACATAGGTTAGCAAGACTGAAAACTTGCAGGTGTTGAATAAATTACTCAGAATTCGTTAACACATATCGCAAACACGTTTCATTGTACCCAACTCTCTCATTTTTTAATGCATGAAGTAAGTTACAGGTGTGTTTTGACAACCGTCACACCTACCTTATTAAGACCCACTTAGTAAAAAAGTTAAATTCAGTGTGATATTTGTTTTTTCTTTTTGGCTTTCACCACCTTATCTTTATCATCATAAATGCATGGATTACTAGGCAGCCCCTGTGACAGTTTGTATCATTCTCAGCCTTTATAGGAAACGTGCTTCTTTTAATTAATTTCAACATAATTATGCCTTTTTTGTCTATAATTACTTTTCTCGCAGCAATAACCAGTATATCCCTCCTTGCAACTACACGCTCCACCCATTAAGCTTCCTCCATTAAAGCAAGTCTTGCGAGAGCAGGATCGTTCCATCTTTAAGTCTGACCCTCCAGAACATGAACCTCCGCACCTCTCGTAAATTGTCCGCTGACGAGTTCTAGTCTGTAATCCTCCTACACCACAATCTGTCGTACAATGGCTCCACTCTGACCAGGAACTAAGTTGACAGTCAACTGCTGGCGAAGGGCCATTACATATTTCCTCTACAAATGACATTAAAAAAAAGCTGCGATTAGAAGAAAACATGGTGTGAAAACAAGGGTGCTCTACAGTACTTTTTGTAAAAAAAAAAAAAGGCTTTACCAAAGTTGTGCTAAATTATTTTAGTTATTACACAAGAAGTAAATGGTTTGAATCCGGGGTTAGCATGCCATCGTGTAGTCCTATGATCCGGGCGAGGGTGCTTCTAAGAAGGACTGTTGTCGGTGGTAATGACTGACGTTTCAACAACCTCTGAGCGGATGTCATCATCAAATCAAATTGTGTATGTATAATAGTATCTCCCTAACCAAATAGGCGAAAGGAGTGTTGGTAAACGAGTGACAAGGCGACATCAAAACTCGCTTGGAAGGCCTCGTGTACGCCGGTTTTTCAAATAATTTCTGTAAATTACAAGAGGCAGAGATATAAGCAAAGATGTTATCCATTGAAAGGAGCATGATCGTTATTATATATGTAATAAAATCCTATTCGCTGCACGACGCAGCAAGAAAGGAAAAAAAGTAAAATTTCCGCACAAGACAAGCTTGGAAACTTTTTTACGAGAATTAAATGTCATAGCCTGCAGAACAGGCCTACTATTTTTTCATTTTCCAGGTGAACGGAGGCAAAAGCCAGGCGTGAGCGAAGGGAGGAGCATTTTTTTTTTCGGGTTGCTTCCTTCGCACGTGTCTCGCCTCCGGTTCGCTTCGTGCTTGCTTCCGTTCGCCTGAAAAAGGTCTGTCATTAAGCTATGCAGTAGTCGTCTTGCAGATAGGATGACAGACGTGGTCGCGTGTATCGACGGTCAGTCAGCAAGGAAACATTACGCAGCTATTATTGAGAGGAATTATTTGGAAATACAGCCAAATATAACTCTTCTGCTTCCTTTGAGTGAAAGAGATAAGATTGGTAACCGAAATACCACAAATAGAAAACCAAATTTTTTTTTAGCCCTTTTCCGAGTTATGATGTTCTAAGGTCGTGGTTTACTTCACAGTCTGACTATAGACTTCACTATTTCACATTAATCGAAATATCTTTAACGATGAGTTACAAGACCATTCAGTGAAATAAATTAAGCGAAAACGAGAATTCTCCTCAGAAATGCCAAAGATAGTTTGCTATAGACACTTCTTGGAAGCACGTTTTGGAAAACCGCACGCGTTGGCGCATTTTTTCAAGGCTGGTATCGCAGTCTCGCACTCGTACTCAAGGACCGAAAAAGGCGGCGTCTTTGTCAAAGAGCACAGTTAGAAATCACAACGAGCCATACCAGCAGCACCTCTATAATGAAAATGTAGGCAAAACTCTAATTCATCATCAAGGAATTGCCCCGGATTTTTTAATGTGACACTCAAAATAAGCATCTTAATTTGCACGTAATACGTCTCCTTCGAATCAAATACTCTCTGCTCACTAGTAATGTTCCGACAGCGCGCAATGGTGCAACGGGATGGAATACATTGCCATCGAGTGAAATGAGTAGTGGTTACAAAAAGAGTGTTTTGGCGCTTTTTTAATCATAAACAGGCTCTGTTTATTTTGCTTCTACTGCTGACGTGAGGTCAAACCACAAAAGATATTATTAGCAATGAGAAAGAAAAACCTTCAGCAGTGTCTGGGTCGTATCAATTAAGTTTATCTCGCTTGTATGATATGCAGCACGTCCAACAAAGCCTACATTTTCTTAGAATTGGGTCTTACTATTCGCAATTTCAAATGTTTTCCTTTAATGTAAACAGAAAAATAAACTCATTTTTGTGTTATTTCCAACCCGTTGAGAAATCGATTTGTTAATATAACCTTATTGGGTACTTTTCCTCTGGAATGCATGGTTTATTCGTTTGTTTCATCACGTGGAACCTCTCGCCAGTTATGCACACATGAAGCATCCTTTCCAAGAAAGACACACTTTCCAGTTAAAATAACTTATTGTTTCTCAGAAATGGAAAAGTTAATGAAGCACACTTTCCGTCAGCAAATCTCATCATTTACTACAGTGACATTCGTAGTGAAAATAAGTGATGAGAACAAACGTCGAAATTTTGTAACGCAAGTACAAGATTCATTTTAACAGATACCGTCACTCTCTTTTGAAAGCTCGGTTCTTCATTCAAAAGTATGAGAGACTTTTTAATCTCACAACATTCGGAGATGGTGAAGTCTACATGAAAGTCACCAATTTTACCCAAGTGCTACTCGTGTGTGCATAAGAATCGAACTGATCATCACGGTGGTACATATCTGTGGGAGTGCACTCAAACGTTTCGATGGAGAGAAAGCTCAGAAATCTTGATATTAAAGTGCAGATTCAAGCAAAGATGGCCGAGTTGTTCCCGATTGACCTGTCTTAAACATTGTTCTGTTTTGACCGTCTCTGTTCTCCATTTTGGGTCCAAAATATTTTTCGAAAAAATTGGTCCTTCAATTTTCTGTTCAAAATAAGCTTCCAAAATTAAGATGTGCTTGTGTGTGTGTTTGTAGAGGAGCTTTTCTTTTCTCTTTAGCAAGTTACCTTGGCAACAATTTCCCGTAAACCCATCTCGACAGCGACATGCTCCATTTTGTACACTTCCCCCATTGAAACAACTGGTCTGTAAGCAGGATCTTGTTCTTGAGAGAGAAGACGAACATGTACCGCCACACTTCTCAGTAAGAACTCGGTGACGAGAGCTAGATTGCGTTCCCGATGCGCCACAAGGAGTTGTGCAAGAGCTCCAACTTGTCCACTCGCTCAGTTCACAGTCAACTGGATTTCCCCCATAGCACTGACGAGTTTCGAAAAGGTTGTCAGGGCATTCTCTTCCACCACAAGTAGGCCTTGTTACTATCATTCTTGATCGACTTTGAGCTCCCAACTGCCCACATTGGTCTGAAGTGCACCGACTCCAGAATGTCCAAGACGTGACATCACAGTCTCGCGCTGGACATTGACAATAAGAAGAGACAGAGAAACACACTAGCAGAATTACCACAAAGGAAACCTTTGCCGAAATCATCTTTGGTATACACTACAGGAAAACCATTCACAGTTGTAAACACAACTAAGCGTCAAACAAGGAAGTAAACTTAAATGAGCCCAGCACTAAGTCAACAGGACTCCGGACTTTGCCCACGTGATGTTCACGAGGAAGCCATACCGCAGTTGTTTGACGAAAATAAAATGCAAAATGATAAGCTCTTTATCACGCAGCCCCATCTTGGATTGCGTGAGGCCCCAAATCGAGGCTGGACGGGCACAAGGTATAGGGTTGTGTTACATTAAAGTGTTTTGAGTGAAGATTTCAAGCAAGCATGACCCATTATCATTGCTGCGTTCATTTCTGTAGTAACGACAAACGAAATAAAATTGGTGAGAATTTATCTTTCTTTAACTTTCCTTCGAATGATTTATTGAGATCGAAATGGATTGCCGCTACCAGGCGAGATGAAGACACGTAGATCAGACGAGAACATGTCGCCAAGCTTAAGACGAGGAAAATTGTGAGTTGTATGATCAATTGCTCATTATCAGAATAATTAAATGTGCAAAACCAGTTGAATGGTCAGTGTTCGTCTTATCCCTAATAATTTTATAGACCAACTACGTTCTATTTTCATTTGCCAAACTTAATTTTGTGGCACATGAGTGTAAGGTAGAATTTTTCCCCAAAATCACTCTTTTTCTGCCCTTTTTTTTACCTAAAAATATGACAGAGGCACTCCTGAAAATATTGTCAGTATAGAAACTATGTTTAAGTCAGATTGCTTGCTATTTTATGGTAATCTTTACCTTAGGTTGCCTGTACCTGACTATTTATGTACAGTACCCAGCTTCAGAGTAACAGTGTGGAACTAAATTAACCCTTTACATCCTAAGATCACAATGTATATTCTCCATACTGTTCTCAAAATATTTCCTGAGGTGCTGATAAGGAGAAATTGTTTTGCAATCAAGAGCTCATTTAGTTGGTGATTATTTCCTTGATTCTCATGACATTATTCTGTAATTCAGGGGAGATATTGTAAAGAGAAATTAGATGCTACTCACTCTTATGGGTGAACAGTTTCAGTACAATGCTTCCATCTTTTAGATGGGGATGAGGGAGGTAGCCTGGAAGCAATGTGAGTCTATTGAGTTGTAAATGGAAGTTTTTAGTTTATGTTGTTTCTTTCCATGTTTTAACTTTGTGAAGGCTGTTGGAGTTTGTTTCCTATCCCGCTGTTTTGGTTTTTTGTTTCTTGAGAAGCTTCAGAGTGAGTTTGTAATAACATTTCAAATTCAAGATGTTCAAAGAGCAAAGAGACCCTATTCATTCATAGAATTTGGTGAGCAATATTCATTAATCGATAAGAAGTTTGTGAGATGCCATCCACAACAAACAACATGTGATTTGTTGGAATTATTACGATAGATAATGCCAAAAGACACCGACAGAAGATCGCCAGGTAACTATATGACCTGAAGAGGAGTAGCAGTTTAGTAATTGAAATGTTTCAATCCTCAATGAGGAGCTTCTTAAGTCTGCTATCTATAGTGACTCTAACTAAGAGATGAAGGATGGGACAACACAAGAACTTTGACATGGCAGCTTAATTTGAGTGAAATGAGTGAAGATTTACACAACAACCCTCCATTCCAGATATCACACTCAGAAATTGGACCAGAAAATAACAGATGTCAAGACTTAACAAGACAGGATGTAAATAGACAGTACGATTTTACTGTAGAACAACTAAAACTCGGTGTACCTTTTTTTGAGCAAATCAGAAAGAAATGCCCCCTACCCACACCCCCGCCCCATTTTTGAAATAGCTTGCCTGCATTAAGAAGAAAAAGGAAAAAGTTTCTGAACTGACGGGTACCTCTTTGGTGTTAACAAGCACATGTGAATTGTTCAAAGACAACTAAACTACATAAGTGTATACTGCAGAGGTTTTATTAGCAGCCAAGTAGTGGGTAGATTTAACTGCTTGTTATTGTGCTGGCTACCACTTAGCAGCCTTTACAGAAACATCACTGTTCTCCCAAAATGCATTTATTCTCTTTAAATTGGTTGACCCCCGAGCACGACAAAGCTACAAGAATTTTTCAATAGTTTATAATCCAGATGAGAAGCATCGAATCAATTGTATCAAGTTTTATTGAAACCTCTGTTAACTGCTCCACTGGCTAGATGAGTCTGTATTGTATAGACTGGCATCAAAAGAAATAGATTCTAACTAGGACATGCTTGAAGTATTTTACTATCACCATTTGCAAACGCGGTTGTCAATAAATTATTCTGTCCGGCGTTGCCCATTATGAACAGATTGAGGAGGAGGTGGGTACATAGACAAAGATATCGGAATTCAACCTTTCTTGGATCCCTGAAATCTGAAAGTGCACAAAAGACAACCGAGGATAGAACGAGATATGAAAATAAGTTTCAATTAGATAATAATGTACAGTATTACAGAAACGGAACTTTCCTGCTTTTGTAGAATTTCGACCCATTTTAGATCGTTTCAACGATACTTCTCACTCGTTAGCTATTGAGTTAAACGCTCGAAGAGAAATCTTATATCTACGCGCGCCCAAGTATTATTCTCTATATCTCGCTGACTGAAAATTAAAATTTTCATTTTCACAGGGGTCAATAAAGGTGTGCTTTCAGGCATCCTGTTTGATTGGAGCTGTCGTTGTCATGGTCGTGGTGGTTCTATGTCATGAAAAAGGAAAGTGAAATGTTAAGCGATGGAGCAATGATCTGGAGAGGAATGCAGTTTCTATTTTCAAGAACCTTGGAGTGCTATCAAAAGTACGCATGAAGTTAGCGGTTTATTTCAAATAAAGCACTACTCGGTGCAGTCAGCTAATGATTTTGTTGTTTGCATCACAAACAGAGGCTAGTCGTTGACATGACTGTCAATTTCTTCCGTTAAATGTTTGAAAAATGTCATGGTTATTTAAATGAATTTGTCCTACGATGCCCAACTCTTGTTATATTTAAAAATAAAAAAATGTTTTAACTGCTTTTTATATACTCAAGCTTCCACTTCCCCTTCCCCCTCCCCCCACATTTACCACACTACAGTATGGCTCAGAGAACATGGCCATAAACCACAGAAACAACGAGAAATGAGGTGTCTCTTGTCTTCCAAAGAAGTGTGATTACTTCATGACGTTTCTATGGCTTAAAGGGGATTAAAAGATTTCGCATTCAGAGAATAGAAGACAGACTAAGGCAAAAATTTTGATCGTTTATTCAGTAAATATCATTAATGATGCAATTATTGCGGAAGTTCCAACATACCCAATGGCTAAGAGAATGCAAGCTAATCCCCAGTCGATCATAAAATTGAAATCGGGTTCAAAAGTTGAAACATAGTATAGTATTCAAATTATTTCTAAGACACTTTGGGATAGACTCTCGAAAGCCTTCTGACTGCTACGTTTTTTTCGGTTATAATCTTTGCCAAATATACTCGTGCTGATTGAATACAAATTGCTCTCGAAATCATTTTATAACAGTATAAATGAGAAAAAATTAAAGGACGAGCACAAAAAAACTTTTCACTAGCCTAGTGTCGGGTTATTTAACACTGTGAATATATATGTAACTTCTTAAAGCTTAAGCACACTCCTATAAGCACTTTCAATGTTTGATAAAATACTGGGATGGTCTTCTCTGACACATTTTCAGTCCAGAGGTATGTGAGCACCATTCCAGAGAAAAATCAGTGCAAGTCAATCAGTTTTGAAGCAAAACACATCTTTCGTCTTTCCTTTTTGATAATTTTGATAATTTGCATTTGTGCATCAGCGTCGATAGAGTTTTTGGAGATTCAATATAGCTGTTAATTTCAAAGTCTTGCCGATTGCGTATCTCTACTACGCATAATGCGTTGCGCATAGGTTGCGCGCTCCTTGACCAAATGGTGGCTGTTATTAAGGCCTGAACTCGCGCTCAGTTGATTTGTTATTTGCTCCTTTTTTCAAGTAGCAATATTTCAATTTTGATTTGTTCACAAAAAATATATTTTGAAGAGAAAGAAAGCTATGGGTTGTATAACTCATGATAAAAGACGTGAAACTCTACGTTTATGGGGTGATAACTAAAGGCTCCATCCATTAGTAGTTTGACCACGGTAGAGAGTAGAAAAATAAGCATATTCCCTTAACTGATTATATAGTTCGGGCGTAAATCGATTGATGGCTAAAATCCCCGTTCGAGCCCTTGTATAACATATAACAGGCCATCGCTAACATCATTTTTCGCTCGCTCACTTTATACCTTTTCTTTAAAATAAGTAGCTTGGCAAAGGCTAGTCCTTACACAAATTTTAGTTAAAGGAACTCTACAAACATTTGACTCCTGTTCCAATTCATTTAGCTTGTTGCGTTTTAAGCTTAACACTAAGTATGTTATGTAAAAAGGTAAAAAAGGCAACTTTGGATAGATTCATATTGATCTTCGAGGCCTGGATTCATTTCTTAAAATAACGCCACCACACACCTATGATGATGATGACGAACAAAACTACTACTCCCGACACCGAAATCCCGACCTTGATTTTGATTGAGCCTGTGTTGGTATCTGTATCTGTATCTGTATCTGAAAAGGAGAAGAAATATGATCAATGATCAGCAATCGAAAAATTTGATCTAGATCAACAGAAAAGTCATTTGAATGATCGGTTAACCACTTTTCAAGCAATTTTTTAACAATTTTTAGAATTTACTTTTGAAATGTTGAATTCATTGAGGGGCACTTAAACTTGGAGGTTTAGAAATAAATTCGCTAACGCATTTAACCGGCAACACGTTTCGTTGTACCTAATAAATTGGACAGCCCTTAAACCAGTTCTCTGAAGCTCAGTGATTGAGCATCGAACCTTAAAATCTGCAATCAAAGACATCAGGGAACTTGGCTATTATATGATACTAATTATCATCATCAGAGTCCCAGAGATGAATCCTATGACGACTTCGGCTTAAATCAAATAGTGTATGTGGGACGGTATCTCCCTAACCAAATAGGCGAAAGGAGTGTTGGTAAACGAGCGACAAGGCGACATCGACACCCCCTTGGAAGGCCTCGTGTATGCCGGTTTTTCAAAGAATTTCCGTAGACAAGAGGCAGAGATATGAGCAAATATGTTACATTCGTTGAAACGAGCATGATCGTTATTAAATATCGGTGAAATCCTATTCGCTACACGACGCTGCGAGAAGGAAAAAAGTAAAATTTCCGCTCAAGACAAGGTTGGAAACTTTTCTCCGAGAATTAAATGTCGTAGCTTTCAGAACAGGCTTGCTATTTTTTCGTTTTCCAGGTGAACGGAGGCAAAATCGAGGCGTGAGCGAAGGGAGGAGCGCTTTTTTTTCGCGATCCATCCTTCGTGCTTGCCTCCGTTCGCCCGGAAAAGGTAAGTCATTAATCTATGCAGTAGCCGTCTGGCGGATAGGATGACAATAGACGCGAAATGTGGTTGCGTGTGTCGATGGTCGGTCGGCAAGGAAGCATATACGCAGCTATTGTTGAGGGAAATTATTTGGAAATACAGCCAAATTTAACTCTTCTGCTTCCAAACGAGCCTAGCACTAAGTCAACAGGACTCTGGACTTTGCCCACGTGATGTTCACGAGGAAGCCATACCACAGTTGTTTGGCGAAAAAAAATGCAAAAGATAAGCTCAATTGTGGAAGACAACAAGACATTATAAAGACGAAATTTAATATCTTGGCATGCACACCTCTTGAATTGCAATACGTGATTGGTTGCTTTCAGCTCTCTTTACTGGTTATCAACGTTTATGGTGTGGAATTTGGGAAGGCTTTGTCAAAATTAGCGAATTGCTAAACAACGGTTGTTTGCTTTCTGATGACAAGGTAGAGGGTTTAGTTCATAATTACATACCTCGGTACGCAGAACGTTTTCTGCTCGTGGGACGCCGGTGGCTTTCTTAGCAACCAAAAGAATACAAATCGAAGCATATTTTTTATCAGTTTTGAACCAATTTACCAAGAATCATCGACGAAATCAGACAATTAAAGTCAAAATCTTTCACAATCTCGGCTGTTCCTCAGTTCGTAAGTCCAGCCGAGCCTATATGATCATTCGTCCCCGTAATAGCCACTAACTATGGCTTATAAATACAAGCTTGTAGTATTAACTTGTAAAATTCCTTGAAGAAGTCAACAGCAGTTGGACGAAACGCGTCTGAGAATAAAAAAGTTTTGCAACTAATATTCGCAGAGTGCTGCTGGCTGGTTAAGTTTTTTTTTAAATTTTAAAAAAATCATTCGTCATGTAGACATCAAAGCGCAAACGTTATTTACAGTAATCGTTCCGATCCCGAAATGCGAAGTAGCGTAACGTCACACCACAAAAAAAAAACAAAACAAAAGAAAGAAAGAAGAAAAATAAAGCAGTTATTAACTATACTTCGACTTAATGAAAAATTTGGTTATTTTTTGCAAATTCGTAAAATCGAGGTTTGCGATACTGCGAACCCTTGATATAACGAACCAATTTTCCCAGTCCCTTAGCACCTCGTTAAATCGAGGTTCCACTGACTTCGGGATCAACCGAGGTTTATCTTTGTTTAATTGCTCACATATACCCTCGTCACACAAACAGTAGCCTTCGTCTCAGTCTCCCAACTATTATGTCCATGTGAATACAAAGTTCCTTCAAACGATTTATCTTGTCTTAAAATTTTGCGGCTTTTCGTTTTAGCCAGGAAGGGTCCAGGAACATGAGGTTCGTTTTCCAGTTTTCTGCATCCTTTCCAAATAAACATTAAAGCTTAGTTTCGCACTCTATTGATTCTAAAAAATAATAAAGAATGAGCGCCTTTTCCTTAATAAGCGCTCTCCCTTCGGGTAACCAAAGTAAATAAGCGCCCCGTACCTATATATCATCACGTTAGATACCAGGCTAGATACTGCCTCTGCTTCGCGAGAAAGCGCCCATCACGATGTATTTACTTACAATTAGCATTACCACTGACAACACCGCGGGATCAAGCTGAAATCCAATATGGCTGACAAACAAAGACCAATTTTTTCTCCTTGAGAAATCGCGATCTTTTGGCTCTCAGCTCAATAGAAACGTATGAACTGCACAAATTTAGGTAGTCTGTAGCTTTAGATATCATCTGCTATTAACAATGGTTCTGTTCGCGATGATTACGCGTGTTTCAGATGGAATGCCTCTGTCTGCTTCCACCGACCTCGACATGCATTTTGAGCTTAAAGAAAGCAAGAGACTCGCCAAAAGTTTAGCCAGAAAAGCTAATCAGTATCCAACTAGATGTGCCATGCAATGTGGAAATCATATGATATAGTAAGTTGCCAGTATGATAAATACATGTACACGTAGGCAAGACAAGAACATGTCGCCAAGCTTAAGACGAGGAATTGTGAGTTGTGTGATCAGAATAACTATATGTGCAAAACCAGTTGAATAATGAGTAATCTTCTTACTCGTAATCATTTTATGGTCCAAATACGTCCTATTTTCATTTGTTAAACTTAATTTTGTGGCATAGGCACGCAAGGGTGAATTTTCCCCAAAATCACTCTTGTTCTGCCCCTTTTATACCTAAAATTACGACAGATGCACTCCTAGAAATATTGTTAGTATAGAAACCATCAGATTGCTTGTTAGTTTATGGTAATCTTTGCATTTGATTGCATGTACCTGACTTAATTTATGTGCACTACCCAGCCTCACAGTAACAGTGTGTTAGAACGTTTCCTGAGGTGCTGATGAGGAGAAATTGTTTTGCAATCAAGAGCTTATTTAGTTAGTAATTATTTCCTCGATTCTCATGACATTATTCTTTAATTCAGGGGAGATATTGTAAAGAGAAATTAGATGCTACTCACTCTTATGGGTGAACAGGTTCAGTACAATGCTTCTATCATTTAGATGGGGATAAGAAAGGTAGTCTGGAAGCAATGTGAGTCTATTGAGTTGTAAATGGAAGTTTTTCTTTTATGTTGTTTTTTTCCATGTTTTAGCTTTGTGAAGGCTGTTGGAGTTTGTTTCTTGGCTGTTTGTAATGGAACCTATCCCGCTGTTTTGGTGTTCTGTTTCCTTGAGGAGCTTCAGCGTGAATTTGTAATAACATTTCAAAGTCAAGATGTTCAAAGAGCAAAGAGACCCTATTCATTCATAGAATTTGGTGAGTGATATTCATTTATCGATAAAAATTTTGTGAGATGCCATGCACAACAAAAAACATGTTGATTTGTTGGAGTTATTAAGATAAACCATGCTGAAAAACACCAACAGCAGATCATCAGGTAACCATTCAACTGTATGACCTAAGGAAGACTACACCCTGTACCAGTTTAGTCATTGAACTGTTTCAATCCTCAATGAGTATGCTTTTAAGTCTGCTGTCTATGTAGTGACTCTAACTAAGAGATTAAGAATGGAACATTGTTTTATCAAGTTCTTAGATATGTTCTGAACAGGAATGTTCAGGTCTCCTGAATTGGGTATTGGCTTAACCCTTCAACCCCTAAGAGTGACCAGCATCTAATTTCTCCTTACAATATCACCCTTAAATCAAACATTAAGGTCACAAGAATTGAGGAAATGATCAGCAACTAAAGCAGCTGTTGATTAGCAAACAAATTCTCTTCACGAGTCAGCACCCTAGGAAATATGCAGTGAATAGTATGAAGAATATAGATACTGATGTTAAGAAGTAAAGGATTAAGAAATTACTGTTAACCCTTTCACTCCCAGGATCTCATTAATAATTCCCCTTACTGCACTGAACCTGCTATACAATTCTATTGATGTTACAGTAGTACTGAGAATTTGGCATTTGATCAACTAATAATCCCCCAATTGATAATTATTTTTTTCTTTATTCTCGTCACTTGTCTGCTTAATTTTTTGGGAGTTTAAGGGTTAAATAAATGAATGACTGACTATTTTAGTTTTGAGATCATGTTTTATATCCATGTAAATCATGCTTATAGAAGATACTGCATTAATTTTTGAAAATACCCCAGTACATATAAATCTAGAACTTAAATGCAACATTACACTCTCTTGATAATCAACATTATTTTTCAGCATCAAACACTTTAAATTATAACTTTATCACAGCGTAAAGATATTATTTTACCCTATCAATAAAATTATTATTAAGGATGACAAATATATATATATTTTTAATTTTCATGGCATAGATTCCTTCATTCAGAAAACCAAGCAAAGATACAACAACACAAGAACTTTGACATCACGGCTTAATTTAAGTGAAATGAGTGAAGATTTACACAACAACCCTCCATTCCAGATATCACAATCAGAACTTGGACCAGAAAATAACACAGATGTCAAGACTTACAAGACAGGAGGTAAATACGCAGTATGCTTTTATTGTAGAACAACTAAAACTCCTTGTACATGTAGCTTTTTGAATCAATCAAAATGAATCACCTTCTCCCCTCCCCCCCCCACCCCCACCCCCACCCCCAAGCAACATGAATTTTACTATAGCTTATAATCCAGAAAGAAAGCATCAAACTAATTGTATGAAGTTTTATTGAAACCTCAGTCTGCTAACTGCTCTATTGGTTGGATGAGTCTGTATTGTAAAAGTTGGCATCAAATAAAATAGATGCTAGCCAGGAAGGAGAACATTGTTGTTACTGCAAGGTCAACATACATGAAGTGATTTACTATCACTATTTCTTTCAGGCCCAACAAGACGTCTTGAACCCTTGACATGGAAAAGTCTCACTGCCTGTGTTTTAGCAGGAATTTGTGGACTTCTTAACTTTCTAAGATGTTTTCCATTTTTAAATGTTATAGTACTTGATGATGAGGTGAGGAAATAATGCTTATTCTTTTGTTCCTCTGTCATTTTGGTAACTTCTTACAACCAGGGTGGGTTTGCTCAAAGCTGGGTTAAGCTAACCCAGGATTAGCCTAAATCTGATTTCATATCTGAAAGCTTCAAAAGAAAATTCTGTTTAGTGATTACTTTTGTCTAGAATTTGATGATGGAAATTGCTATAAAAAGATAAAGATAATTATCTGAAGAGGCTTTTGCACAAAGGAATAAAGAAACTCGGATTAAAATTTAACACTGGGTTAGTGCTAATTGGCCTTTGCACTTCTGGACTTAAGATAACAAATCTTTCAATTAAATCTGGTTATTGTCCACCAAATGTGGGTTTGAAGACCTTACATGGCATCTTATTGCCCTGTGTAAAGGTTTTCTTTTAGAGATTTCTACATTCCCTATCATGGTCAGAGTGGACAATTCCACAATTGGCAGCCACAGGTGATAAAAAGGTTGATGAAGTCCCTTAGATTGTGTGATGTGGCTAGCAACCTTAAGTTACCACATCTTTGGGATTTATGACACATTCATTACACCACAGTGTGCTTGAGTGAAAACTCTATTCAGGGGACAATTTCAGGACTAGAAAAAGTATTCCATTAATAGATGACTGTGTCCTTTAGATGAAGGAAGTCAAACAAAGTGTGTCGTTGAGCCTCCAATAAGCAGACACTAGGGAGGGGTTGGACACAAAAAACTCCCCAGCCTTTTTTTAATAAGAATAACTGATATTAAGATGTTATGGGGGCCTCTGTGGGGGGTACACCCTCAAGACTAGAAAAAAGTGTCATCACATCCCTTTAAGGAGAAGATGACTGTGACAGAACTGAAGAAGCATGGCTTCAGTGTAGGCCATGTTTTTTTTCCCATGACTAGAAGAGGTCCTACTGTAGATAATAGCCATCCTTTATTGAAGTGTTTAGTTTACCTTGTCAAGGACCCAGTACTTTTCATTTGTCTAACCCTTTACACCCTAACATCAGTATGTACTGTTCTCTATCCATATCCTAAGGTGCTGGCAATGAAAGTTTTTTTAAACAATCAAGAGCTTCTTTAGTTGGTGAACATTTCCTTTATCCTCATGACCTTAACCCTTTCCACTCCCAAGATCTAATTAGTAATTCTTCTTACTATCTGCCGTACAATTCTTATGATGTTAGTTCAGAGAATTTGGTATTGGATCAACTAATAATCCATGACTGATATTCTTCTCTATTCTCATCAGCTACCTGCTTGATATTGTATTGATATTGTAAGGAGAAATTCTGTCTTGGTCACTTGTGGGAGTGACATGGTTAATGAGTGATTCAAGGTTGATAATGTAAGGAGAAATTAGATGCTGGTCATTGTTACATTTACATGTAGAGGTCAAAGGATTAATGCTTTTTACTTTTACCAATTGTTAGGCCAGTGCTACTTGGTTCTCGGCTGTTGGCTTTTTGCTTGCTGGTGTTTTGAACTGTTGCCAGGTTTGTAGTCCCTTTCTTATTTAAATATTTATTTATTTTTTACTTTTATTTATGATGAAGTGCTTTCCCTGTTAAAAATATTTGGCTGTATTTTTACTATATGGAACAACTATACATTTAGAAGAACCTTGTCTAGAATAAGCCAATGCTGTGATTTGCGAGATGTGATGAAGTAAATAATGAAAGTCATTCTCAAGCCCTTCTTTTATTTTAGCCAGTCTGTTCTTTCTCTGTTACAAAGTTGTTCTCAGAGTCATTGCCTTGTCATCATCTTGTTTCACCAATGTGTAAACTTTTTGGACTATACATGTGTGCAAGTCTTGTGCCATATGACCTCAGTAGTGGTATAGGTGAAATAATCGGTAATGTTAACCCTATAAGAGAGAATTTCTCCGCACAATATCAGTACAATATCAACCAGATAAGTGATGAGAATGAAGACAAAGATCAATTTGGGGATAAGAAGTTGATCATAATGATAATTATACTAAATTCTTCGAAGTAACATTATAAGAATTGTAGGGTTTTTTTTTTGGTCTTTCTGTTTGTTTACACTGTATATGTACCTAGATTTATGCACCATTACCTGAATGTATCTCACTTCCTCAGCTACCTGTATACCTACCCACCAACTGGTACATCTGCTACTTAGATACTACCTGCACATGTAACAACTTTTCTCCTTTGACTGTCTTTCCTGCCTGTCTCCCTGTCTGTAATTTGTCCACATGTGGGTTCAGTGTGTCTGTCAGTATGCCACTCTATCAGACCATGAGTTTTTTTTTTTTTTTTCCATGGTCTGTTAGACCACAAGCCAGTTTGTCTGTTTTTCGGTATGTGAGCCAGTGTCTTCTTGTGCCTGTTGTCTCTCTGTCGTTCTGTGTCTAGCCACTTCAAGCTGATTGGACCACAAATAGACACAAATTAATTATATGTAGGATAAAGTCAAGTTTATTGAATGAAAAATGGATTTGACAAGTGTGCTTTTTTGTTGTTTTCTCTCACAGCTTCTGCTCCTGCTGTTTTCAGTCAGATGGAGGATGCCGCTGGCAAGAATATTATTTGGCTTGCTTCTCTTTTTAATTTACTTGCTACGAGGCCTTCGAAACATCTGGCAGATTCTCTTCCACCTCACAGTTGCTGCCCTTGTATTATATCAAACTGCTAAGCGACAGCTACAAGCAAAGCCCCCTGATTACAATGTATAGGATCAAGAAATCAGCATATAGATAACAATGGTTTTAAAAAGAAAATGATGTAATATACAAATCTGAAAATGAAAGCAAGTTTATATCATGAACGCAGGTAGTCAAGCATCACTTGGTTGTTTGTGTCACAATTTCAAAACACATATTGAGCTTTCAGTGGATATTATGAATTTACAGAGATACTATGCTCATTGGTGGATAGGTGTGTTATAGAGATGAGTTTGTAAAGAGGGTGGTGGAATTTTACAATGTAGATCTGTGCATATTTCTAAAGCCCAAGGAGAAGTCAAAGGTTTGCTCAACTGTGTCAATTTTCTCAATTCTCCTGTGTTGCAGTGGAGTTATCTAAACACAACATCTTATACAACATCAATATATGGGCTGTTTTACAAGGACCTTTGTGACTGGGTGTTTGTTTTATTTACTGCTTTTCTCAATTTTTATTCATTAATATTTCACTACATTTTCATTTGCAATCAAAGAACAATCCAATTAAGAGGAACTCATGTCATTCCTCTACAACTTCCTGGACTAAAACATGTTCCTCTGCATTACAGCTTTTTTTTTTTCCAAAAGAACCATTAGAGGAATACTCCAGAGTTTAATTTTTCTCTCTGACATGGAACAAAAAAATTACGTGACACCTCAATAATGATCAAAGTTTAAGATTCCAAACAGTAACAAACTTTCTAAAAATTGTCTTGAACCATTTGAGCCCTAAGAGCAACTAGCATCTAATTTCTCCCTACAATATAACCCCTGAATCACACTTTAAGGTCAGGAGAATAAAGGAAATGATCACCAAATAAAGAAGCTTTTGATTTCTATACAAATTCTCCTTGTCAGCACCATAAGAAATGTTGAAGGAACAGTATGGAGGACCACCTCGCGATATGACCCTTTAACTTAAGGGTGATCAGTAACTATTTTCTCCTATCCGTATCACCCTTAAATCAAAAATTGAGGTCATGAGAATAACGAGAGTGATCACCTACTGAAGTAGCTCTTAATTGTAGCACTTGTGGCCAAACATGGGAGAGCACGTGCCAAGATCATCACAAAATTTTACACTACAGGCTGTGAAAATAATCTCTCTTTTTTTTAGCTCAAATAAAACTGTTCTCTGACTCATACTCATCTTTTTCGTTCCTAAATCGCTCTCCACAACTTTCGTAAGTTTTGTCCTGTATTAGTTGATGTTCAGAGAGACCTAAGTTAGCCATCAAAATGCACTCAGGTACAGCTGTTGACACTGCGATAATATAAACATCGTTTTCATTATGTAGATGACTGCTGGTCAAATGATCTGAAGACTCCATTCCCAGAAGTCAAATCGCATCGGAAAATGATCATGTCAAAGCAAAAGTTTGAAATGGAGATTGGAAAAGCTGTGTTCGTTATCATTTTATACGTATCCTTCTTGCATTGCTCTGCAAAGAAGTCCCCAATAACCGGTGGAATATCCAGAATTGACCCAGAGGATCTTCGTCAGTATCCTGATTTGGTAAAAGGAGTGAAATCATTCCTGGATAAGCTGAACGCAAAGTCAACTGCTGGAACTGTCCACAAGCTAGTATGTGCAAGCGTCCAAGCTTCATCACAAGTTGTTCAGGGCGTTCTGTATCGTGTTGCGTTCAATACTGAACAAGTGGATAAAGGAGTGGCACAAGGAGAGTCTTGCATCAACAGAGGCGACTTTGTTGAGAAGGGAGAGGGGAAGTTTATTTGCATCAGTATTTGGGAAAGACCTTGGCTAAATAATATGTCTCCTGAAATCAAGGAAAACAAAGAGGGCAAAGATGTCGAGTCTTGTTTGGGGGTGAGCAACTAATGAAACGATCTGGATACAATCTTGAGCTTTGTTTAAACTTTACCTGTCTTTGTAGGGAATTTTCTCTTAATATGCTCGCTAAAAATTGTACGGAGAATTCAAAGGAGAATTAACTTGCTGCTCATTGAAACCAACATGTACAGTTTTTTGTAGTAACAAGGAAGTACTTGTAAAGAAACTGTTCTAAATATAAATCATGCATCATTTTCAGTTTTGCCTTGTATGGCGTCATCGTTTCATTCAGAATGTATTTCACTTTCTAGTTGTTTCTTCATTTGCTCACAAATTTTTATGATAACAATTGTGATCAAAACTGTAATAAAATTTTTGAACTTGACTGGTTATCACCAGCCCAATATTTGAGCTCTAATAGGACAGTGTAGGTATCATGCTTGTAATTGGACAGTGTATGCATCATCCAGTATAAATGGACAGTAGGTATCATCCTGTGTGACATTGCGCATCATTTGCACACATTTCAGCCTGTTAAGTGGTGTCTTTCTTCATATTTTTGTTTTTGTTTTCCTTTTTTATGAAAACGAAAATGGATGGTTGGTTGGTTCTCTAATGTTTTGATAGTTTTTGTTAATTGGTAACAGGACCTCTGTCATCCAATTCTGTCTTTAATTATACATGGAGTAAACAAATTGGACACATGCATCTAGGGTTGTCCAATATTTCCAAAGACTCCTTTGATTACAGACTGAATGGGACTCCACTCAGTTTTATTACCATTACCAATTACATACACGTACTGATATTAAAAATACATGGCATAGCACTGAATTACTGTAAGAATGTATTTTTAAATCTCTTTGTAGATATACTTATACATGAAGGAAAAAAGTTCTAAGTTTTTAATGTAGTTAATGTTTTAAAACAATGTGGTATAGCAAGGACAGTAAAATGAACATAATTGATGTGTTAGGTCAATAATTCTCTCATGAATTTTATTAATGTGGCAGAACAAGGAAGCCGTAGGTCATAGTGTAGTCAAATTTAATCCCTTTGTCACATCTGTAATGAGTAGTGAATTTCTGAGACTTGAGCCTCTTAGATTCAAAATGAGTACATATTTTTGCAAGAAACATTTAAAAAAGACATACATGTAGATCTCAAATTTGAAGACAGTGAGCTTTTGAGGTGATGAAGTCATGGTGGCATTCAAATGTAGATTTTGTCATTTCTTTCATGACTGATGGTTGAACATTTAAGATATCAGAGCATAAAAAATCCTTTTAGAGGGATATCAAGATTAATGATATGGATCAAGACAGTTAAATTTAGAATCTGGCATTTTACTGAGCAATTTCCCACAGAAATCATTAGACAGGCAACAGAAAAATTATATTTCTTTAATAGTAATATTGCAAAATTTACTTTCCTCAGTAATTTTTACATAGCTGTACTGGCATCAAAGATACTCTAGCTTTTCAGACATAAGTAGCAGTGAGTGACAGCATGGAGGCTATCAGCATGGGATTATTTACCCCTTTCCCACTCAGCCTCATCCGAGGTAGTTCCCTTTGATCTTGTTGACATATCCTAATACAAGTAGTATATTGTCAAGTGGAGAGAACTGTGACAGTGGACATCTATATAATCTCAATGTACTCTAATGTCACTATAAGCGATTTTATTTTTATTCCAAAATAAAGTGTGTTATTCTAAACATAACATTGCGTCAGTGTGTATTTGAATGGGTTTTCTTATACTTGAATTTTTGACAATACTTGACTCATTGATTTGACCGGGGAAAAATAGGAATTTGTGTACATATTGAGGTCATTCCAACTGTGTATTACAGTATACCATTACATGATTACCAGTGGTGGTAGTTCCCACACATTATGAAGATGATAACATTTCCCTTTTGGCAAGAGGAGAAAACAGTCCCCCAACATTTACCAACATGAAGTTAAGCAAGATGCTAAATACATAATATTGCCAATGGAAACAAACAGGATATGATCGAAGTTCTTGAATAGGACAAAGAATTTGGCAATTTATCCTGAACAGATTTTTTTTATTCAGGCTTGTTGGTGTAGTTGTAAGTTGAAGGTTGAAATCTATTTACAACAATATGTTTTTTTTTAACAGGATAGCATAAATAGATTTTCTCTTAAAAAAGATAGTGGCTGTAAGGTTTTTGACAGAACACCCCCAACTATCTATAGGTACACCCTCCCCCTTTGTCCAAGATGGTGCTGTTCCCAAACAAGTATAGGCTGGCTCATATTTTTCTTAAAAATTCAAAGTTCCTGCAATTCAGACCACCATCAGATAAAGGAAGCTGATAAATCTTTGTACAGATTTTGTCTCAGACCCATTTCAGGTGACCAGCAGTTCACTACTCGGGCAAAAATGGACTAAAAACCTGAAAAGGGCTTGCTGAGAACAAAATGCTTTCCCTCAACTGTTTGGCAAAAGAAAAAGAGAGAGGAGATTTTGCTTTGTGTTTTTTTTGGAGGGAGGGGAGGTGGGATGGGGCAGGGCAGTAGTGGCCTGGGCAAGCATAAAAATGCTTCAGGCCCTACTAAGAGTCATATTAGGCTAAGCATATTTAAGGCCAGGTAAATTAATTGTTTAAGTACCATTATCATTATGGAGGGCATTGAGAAAACAAAAGCTGAAGATGACACATAAAAAAACAAGTTTCAGGTTGAATAGTCTTTATTTTCAATTGAAAAATATGCCATCAGGCAAAGCTGGCTAGAAATTACAAAATCTTGCTCTCTAAGTATAGAATAACTGTGAAAGACATGAAAGGGAATTCAGAGCTTATTCAAAGTTCATTTGTACTTTAGTCAATTGTATTTACTGTTTGCTGCTTTCATTGTACAATTGTTTGCTTGTCCCTTTTCATTTCAGCCCTTCAAAGTCTCCCTTAAAGTGCACCACAACACCCAACCAAGTAATAACAATCTCATTATAATAATATCAGCTTTCAGGGCATGCAAAATCCTGAGGGGTGAAAGTATCAGTGTGTATGACATTCTTTACAAGATTTTCCCTGACATTTTCTATTCAAATTTTCAGAAAAAGAAAATCATGCCTTTCGTTTTCTGGTAGCTCAATTTTCAGATTAGTCACAGCACTTGTCTTAGTTTCAATGAGGAGAATTGTAACAGGGATTGCACACTTACAATGGAAAACCATCCAGTAAAGTTTCTTGTCACATTTATTCCTTTATAAAACTGTTCACAAAGCAATTTGAATTAAATAGTAAGGTAAAAAAAGTGCATCAATTGCAATTTTAACAATTGTTATGGAAATTAACATGCTATCTAGTTTATCTAATATCACTACTGCCTCCCTTTCTTTATAAATTAGGAACTACAGCATCTATGAAAGTGGCTCACCATGAATTCTTCATTCCTTATTCTAAAGCAAACTTCCCATTGAAGGAAAACTTTACTGTTGTCACTGTGATGCTCATCTGCAATCTTTCATTCCCCAGACTTCACAATTTTCTTGTTTTTGTCAAAACAATTGCACCCTCTGGGATAAGATTGGATGATTGCCATGCAAGTGATTGAGGACTTCATGCGCGAATGTTACTTAAATCAGTTTGGCTAATGGAAAAGGCATGCAGACTTGACAACAGTTGTTTTCTTGATTACACATGGCATTACGACAATTTTTTGACACTGATGAAATTCAAAGGAATATTACTCTTTCATCATGCAATTTTCACATTCACATTGCAAAGAATGTGGATTATACTCAATTTTGTTATCAAAACATAATATCTATTATGACTAGTGTATAAAATTATACATGAGGCACATTGTTAGCTTCACTTACATTGTAATAAACTTACTTCACAAATATTCAATTACAATTAAACGCTCAAATGAGCTATGCATCCCATGATGGACAAATTAGATATTTTCCCCCTGACAAAAATATTTTTTTCTTTTATATGAGTCCATATAAAATTTGAGTATTAACTTGGAAAATACTCCAAGTGCTTACACTTTATTTTCAGACAAATTTATTTACTTTCGTCCCCATATTCCTTTGCAAGATTTCAGTTAGGACTCTAAAATATCAATTCTCAAGGATTGCTATTTTAAATTACTGTACTAGAAGATCTGAGCATTTATATATGTAAGCTCTTTAATTATCTTACTTTAAAAAACCATTGATATGTTAAATTGTTTGCTTAGCAACGGATTAAGTTATAAGCCAAATAAGAAAACTGATTGATCACTTCTGATACTTGGGAAGCAGTAGCAATAGGTGTGTGTATTACTAAACCAAGTGGAAGTAAAGGGATTTTATATCAAGTAAATTGGGTTGAATTGGATAATGTCTGGTACAACGTTCTACTGCTCTAGCAACGACCTGAACTGACGAAAATTACTGAAGGAAAAGTAATGAAAGAGAGATGAAGAGTTTCCGGCTTTGATGCTGCAATCATACTGCAGCTGGTTTATGGAGCATTTACTTGGACTATAACTTGTTTCTAACCCTTAAACCCAAAGAACCTGTTGCACTCTATACAACTTCCCCCGCCAATATATTCAAAATTGAGCCGTTTGGTGAGACTTAAGAGCTGATGATATTTTTGAAGAAAAAGAAAGAAAAAAAGGAAAAAAACCGTATGGTAACAGCTTTTCACACTCGCATCAGTTTTCAAAACTAGGAGTCCGAGGCTTCTGACGCTTGACTGAAGTAGCTTGATCTGCGTAGTTTGACAATTTGATTAATGTATGCTTTCATCAGTTTGGCAATCTCGATAACCTGTGGGTATAACGGAATTATGGTCATTATTAACATTAAATTATTAAATAATTTAATATCAATTACAAGACCTAGGTCTTAGATTGCGCAAAATTAAGAATAATTTTCTTTTGTTCTACATTTCCAGTCCCTTCTAATCTTCGTTGTCCTTGGTCATCATGGTTCTTTCTTGGTTCATTAAAGCTGCTCTCTTCTTTTCATTAACAGACTAGCGTTTTATAGTTTCCATTAACTTAAAAAATTATAGTCAATCCTCCACAAGCGGCTATCTCATTACAACGGCAACCTCTCTTCAACTACCACCTCCCCCCATTGACGATTTTCTTCCCTGCGGAAGGTTGGTCAAGCCGCTTTCATTTTAACCGCTAGTCGACAGCCATCTTAAAAGGCAAATGCTGCTAAAGCGCATCCCAAATGAAAAACAACAACAACAACATCTTCACAAAGGCATGACCGCGAAACGGTAATGTAAAATTCGTAACACCTTGCTCAAGAGGACAACCTTGGACTGCTCTCATTTACCTAAAAGGAGATCAACTGTCTGTACAACTAAACGTGAACTTTCCACTAATTGATGGGTTCACTGTATCGTTTTACTCCACTGCCTACCCATACCAATCAACTCACTACGACGGCTGCTCTGTTGCCAGGGTGACCGTAAAGGAAAAGTTTGACGTAAGCTGTGCAGGCCACAAAAGATGACTGAAAATATCGTGACACGAGTCCTTTATCTAAGTCAATAGTAAATAAACGGCATAATACCTGAGATGTTTCAAACAACATGGGTTCTCTCCCGTCAACGATGATCTTATACTTGTTGGCAGCCGGAGCTCCAAATGATAAAATACTGTGAACGAAAAAAAAAGAGGGGATCAGTAAATTAAAAGTTACGTATCCAATCAGATTATCGACTGAAGGATCATTAGCAGTTATGTCCTGTTGTAAAGCACATAGGAGACGCTTGCAGCATGAAAGAAGAGTAGGGAAAAACCGAAATGTAACAATGATATTGTAAATGGTATGCACAGGCCGAATAATATTCATTAAGGTCAGAATTGAAGAGAGCGACAAAAAACATACAAAACTAAAAGAAAGGAAAGCCATAAAGTTAGCAGCCATGGAAAGCAAACAGCTTTATTAGTCTTCATCTGCATGGCAGTCTATACTTGGTGTTACTACCGCTGACGCCTGTGTAGGTACCCGCTGGTCTTAAAATCTCATCCAACATATCAAAATATCGCCTTAACAGTGACACTTCTTGAGTGCTGATGCTGTTTAATTCGGGCGACACGCCAGTCCACGGCAGCTAACTTGACGGAATCTTACTTTATTTCGATCATTGTCGCCTTAGTGCTCATTCTGTTAATGTCTGAACTTGTTTGAAAACGAGGCGAAATGGTTTGAGATTCGTCATGAGTGCCAAATGAAACTTACTTTTCATAACTGAATTGACACTGTGGTCTGACGTCTCCTCGCTTGTAGAAACCCACGCCCTTGAAACTCACACCCAGCCAGAGTTCGGGAGGAAAGCCTGGGTCTTTCGTCTGCAATACAAGAACATCGATGTCAGTATTACTGCTGTTCCGTCAGTAAAAATTTATGATCCAGGAGACTGGACCGGTATAGGGGTCTTAAAGGAAAACATGAACACTTCGTGAAAGTAATTTCAACGGTAAGCACAACACGCGGTGACTGGATAACCGCTCGAGAATTTCCACTTTGTTCCTGCAAACACAGACAAAGACGCAAACAATCAAACAAACCAACATTTTCTTATATTCGGCCCAACACTATCTAACTTTTAGCCAACTATTTTGTTTTCATTTTTGTAGAGAAAAAGCTTTTTCTAGCCGTTTATTTTCAACATCTCGTGTAATCGTTGGCCTCAAGCAAAGAGAACTATTTGGTTACTTACCTCCACGTCAAACAGGGTGGAACCATAACCAGGCCAACTTCTTAGTATTTCCATGTACTGTTTCTGAGCTTGTTCTTGATCCATGCCCTGATGAAGTAAGATAGTTCAATAATCTCTTCATTTGCGTTTGATTTAAACAGGAGTTTGCAAGTTTGCATTTTCATCGGTTTCTTCGAATACTTACAGCAAGTTTTTTCCACTGTTCACATATAGAACTCTTTATAAACGAAAGCTCTTCTTCAGTGGCTTTCTTGCTATCTTCCTCGCCATTTTCTGGTCCACCAGCTACAAAGAGTGTGAAGGAAGAAAATAAAAGAACTTGCCGCTACACTGACATAAGATTAAACTATTACAGACGCAAGAGAGCCGTCAAATTGAATGAGGCTGCATCAGAAGTGTTCATCGCTATATGTATGTGCCATTGTTACTTAGCAACATAACAGCTGAAAATTGTGGGCTCAACTTACCTGATCGGAAAGGAGAGACGGCTTTCCTTATTGTTCCCTGTTATGAAGAATTACAAAGAAAGCAGGTTATTGAGAGTGAAAGGAGGGATGGTCAAAATTTGGCCTTATCATCATTCTAAAAGACAAAGGAATGATTCTACAACTTACATAACAGTCCAAAGTTTACTTAACTACCAAAGTATCTGATCGTTTCGTATTCAACGTACAGTTGTACACAGTTATGAAAATTGCGTTTCTTCAAGAAAAAACCAAGAAGCGATCGACGCAGTTATTCTTTGTGCACTTAAAACCCCTTCTACGGCAAACGTCGCCTTTCTGTTTTCGGAGAATCTCATGGACATAAAAGGAAAAATTTTCCTTTACGATTTTGGGATTACAATTTAAAATTGCTTTACTAACATCACTTGCCTATTTGCCATTTTTTAAGAAATTATTACAAGAAATCAGTTCTCCATCTTTACCTTGATGCTGAAGTGTCTTTCTCTTGTGATGCCACTGTTTTCCGTCTTTACTTTCTGTTTCAGTTTCCCAGGAGGATAAACCGAGTTCAGATCAGATCTAAAGCCAAACAAAAAGGTTTAATGACAACATCAATAACGGCAACTGCAAGAAACAACTTGAGTTCTTCAGATCACAAGTACAGACAACATGAACAGAAAGATTTAGTGAACATAACAAAAATAGAGAGCAAATAAACTAGATACCACAAGCAAGTAAACAAATAAATAAATTTATTAATAAGAAAAAGAAGTAGAGAACGTGAAAGGAAGGTTATTGTATCTGAATATAAACATCAGCAAACCAACAAAAATAAAACCAAAAACATGACTTTCCTGACAACAAACAAATAAACAAATTCATACACATAGAGAAAAACAAAAACAAGACTTTCCAAAGCAGAAAATTAGCCAACTTTTTTTTTAATTCAATTTTTCCTCCTTCAAAGATGAGTGTTACTTACACCCAAGCACCAGTGTTATAGTCTCCTTCATTGAACTGAAGCCGTAAGGCAGCGAGAAGGTACAAAGTGGTATCCGGAGCAGGGTATTTACCAAGTATGATCGAGTCACAAGCCTAAAGGTAAAAATGAGATGTTACATTTTAGATATGAAGCCCGTTGTCTGAATGTAAAGTTACAAAACAGTAAAACTTATCATCTGCTAGTTTGTTGACAACTTTTAAAAAGTTTTGATAATACTGACTAAACCAGTTTATTACGCTGAAGTCCTTTTAAAAACTCTCAAAGTGTTTTGATCGAACAAACCTGTTCATAAAGAAATCCATATTCAATAGTGTCCACTTCCACCAGTTCGGGTTGAAGGTAGCAAAAAATCTTAAAGAAAAGCTTCCATGAATAGCCTGCTTCGGTCAGACCTAATGCCTTGTACCTGAAACACGAAATCAAGTCAGATTCCATTGTAAACTCTTTCAGGTCAAAAATTACAGTCCATGCATTAAGAACTTCGTCACTGAATCAACTGTTTCTTCTTGGAAATGAGTTCGAATCCCGTTGGATTTCCAATTTTTTTTCGGCCTTTATTTGTACATGTTGTGCATATTACAATGATGATCTTATCTTCAATGATGTGTTTTTCTACTGATGAAATGAAATTTTACAACGCCTTTGAAGAACATGGGGTCAAAAGAGGCGTTCACCACAACTATCTTTGAGGCTCACTCTTTGAGGCTCAACCCCTCCAAACGGAGGTTGAAACACTGTATTTGATATAAAAAATGATATGTCATTCCCACGCAAATGAAACCTTGCATAAAATCTCAATTTAGAAATAACCAAAGTTACGCCTACTCTGCATTCTTCTACTGCACTACGTGAGATTATATCAAAATTACTTTTCAAACTTGGACAAGACGTCTGCAAGCACAGTTCTGTCTTCGATATTCTTCTCTATCGTGCCGCACTGCTCGAACAGAGTGAAAATGTTACACCTCTGTGGGATATTCAAGCCCTTGCACAACTTCTCGACAACCTGTGAGAACAAGAAAAGCACCGAAACATTCATGATCTATTTGACCTATTAACTCACAAGAACTGATTGTTAATTATCCCCTCTAGCTGTAAAACATTTCCTTGTAAATTGGTGACGAGAATTTGGTTTCAGATCAATATAACAACTTCTACCTGATAAGTTGAATACTCTCAGTACCTGTTTGCTGGATAATATATAAATTCGTAATAGTGATAAGTTAACATGTTAACCACCTATGAAAGGGTTATCGATGCGTATTCAGACAAAATGAAGAAAGACTTCAGCATAGATACCGCCGCGGTATCTCTATCTCCCAAATACGGTCCGCTCAATTGACCAATCATGGCGCACGTACTAACTAAGATAAATATTAAATCAATAATATCCTGCTGGGCTCTCTAGTTATTATAATTTTTTATTACCTCTCCTGCTGTAGTGGCAGAGTTGATTGTAATCTTACATGATCCTCCGCCATAGCAGTGAACAACAGCCGAGAGCTCTCGACGGCCCTGAAGAGCAGTATGATTAAAAAATTGGATCATCAGCATCAACAATTCACAACAATTTCACTGATGGTTTTGTCATTTGCAAGTAATCTTCATTTGCCATTTGCCATTTGCCATTTGTAGTCCGTTTTCATCTTCGCCACCTTTAAACCCTCTTCATTTTTTGCGTTATTATTACCTTTTGGGTGTTTATTTACTCAAGCGAGAAACCATCGCAAGATTTTATTTTATTCAAATAAAAACAAATATGATGTGAGAAAATGTGGCGAGACTTACCAGAAGAGAAATTATTTCTTCTCTTGAAGGAGGAAATTCCCTGTAATTCACATATAAAAAGAAACAGAAGAAAAAAATTACAAAATGAAATTCTGTATTTTGGTGCAAAAAGTGGCAAACATACAAATCAAAATAGCTATGTGAAAGCAAATCAAACTGCAAATTCAACAGATTGTACATCAAATCTCACTAAAGGAACTTAAGAACAGAAACGAAAGCCTAATGGAATTGCGACTCATACCTTGGTCTGGTTCTCTTGATACATTCTAAGGCAAACACTGCAAACTTGGCCATTTCTGTATCGGGATGTTTATCTCTATTTCTGGAGAGAAAAGAGGCAAGTACAGTCATCTTTTTCAGAAATAATAAGTATATTCTTTTCAATCTGGGAAACGAACCTGTAATTAAAATTTATCCTATGAAAGTGTTGACAAGGACGAGGGAAAAATGTATCAAAAAAGACGAGTGGAAATTTGGAATAATTATAATTGCTACCATATTCTGAAGAATTTTCCACGATATGGGAATTAAGATTGTTGCTATCATAAGATGAAAACTATTGAGTGCCAGAATTGAATTGCCCTTCTTTATACTCTTTCAATTGATTTTTTTCTTTTTTTGCCCATAACTTATTTTCTTCAAAGGAATGCCATAAATTAAATCACGATTGATCCTGTTTGGTTGGGAAAGGTTTGGTTGACTCCACTTGGCCAGAGAACGATAATACCCTTTGTAAACTTACCTTTTCAAGTGAAATCTCAAGTATCGAAGGTACTTTCTGGTTGGGACGAATGTGCAGCACATACAAACCAGCACCTGCAAAAGACAAGTTCAAAGCTCATCACACACTTTACAATAACTCTACTAAAAAAAACCCCTTAGAAGAATAATGTTATGAGCGTTGGACATTAAGGAGAGGAAAGAGAGGAAAAAAATATCCGAGTCTATTGTAGCGATTCAAACCTAGGCCCGTTCTGATTTTATTTTTGGATGCTCTCATTCATGACAAGACCTACTTTAAGGAAGACGTCAAACGCGGCTAAGTTTGTCGCGAGCAAGCGAAAAAGAAACATTCTAAATCCCTTAAGACCATTCAAACCTCGAACCTTTTCCATTTTGCGGTCGCATGCAGTTTGCCACGGATAAAGAGAGAGAACTTGGTTCATACGCGACAAACGCCTTCATCCTGCACAAATCGAGAATGCCGAACGTCTTGTACGAAACTAAATTTTGTTGAAATTAGAGCTAGTCGTCCAGTATTGTACCAGCATTGTACCTTCATAGGCGACAAACGCCCTCATCCTGCACGAATCGAGAGTGCCGAGCGTCTTGCACGAAAAGAAATTTTGTTGAGTTTAGAGCTAGTCGTCCAGTACTGTACCTGCATGTTTCTGAGGTTTCCAATGGAGTCAGGAGTAGGGTGATTTGTAGTCTGTTTGATCAGCTGGCAGAACACCTAGCAACAAGGAAAACCACGTTTTATGAGAGGTTCAAAAAATTAAAACCGATGTAAAATATCAAATTCACAAGATTGACACTGAATCAAAGACTAACCTCATCTCTTAGAGGTTTCAAGTCTTGGCAAGTTTGTAGGATTCCCTAGAAATGACAAAAACACAAACAAACAAGATTACTGGTCGAAATAAGACGTTAACAATATTTTCTTAACATAGTATTTCAAAATGACATAGAGACAAGCTTCAGAACCAACACTCAGTGAGATACAAATTTCTTGAAACACAGAGAGAAAATATGCAGAGATTATGGCTTAAGTGACTGTGGTTCCAGCGTAGATCACTTCCGTGTCTTCAAGCGGCTTCTTTTCGCCGCAAAACTAATCATCATAACATTCACTAATTTTTGTGTTACCATCGTCGTTTTCTACATTAGTACCCTGATCATGCTCCAGTATCGATACCAAATGTGACGACCAAAGCAGGTTTAGACCACAATTTGATAAGAAAAATTCAATTCAAAGGTGCTAGAAATCGTACTTGAATAACTGGGATAGGATCTGCAATGGATTCTTGTTCCAGCAGTGAACTAAAAACTCCAACAGCCTCTTCATGGAAGGTGCCATAACCTTTACCCTTTGCTCCTGTGAGTGGAAAAAATTTAAACAATAGTTTCCAGCCGATACTCATGTTATCCACTCTCCTCAAAAATAAGTAGAGTACATTGCAGAACAACGTCCGCTCAAAGCCTGAAACTAATTTGAATTTTGTATGCTAAGTGACTGGTCTATAGGTGAACCCACAGTCAAAACCTGGTGTTGGTCTTCTAAGCAATCACTTAATTCGTTAAAAAAAAAAAAAATTAGACGCGATTATGAGCTTCTGTCACGTTTCTAAAACGTGGCAGAGGCGACCACTCACTTTTTACTCTCGCCTGTCGCCGTTTGGATAGTTCACCGCGCTCGCTAAAAGTGAAGTGCTTCGTAGCTGTATACTTATTGGACCATTTCAAACATTATAGAAGTTTACATTCAGCATCAACGTAATATCATAAAAGCTTGCATTCAGTATCATTAAAATAATACGATGGTGTTACGAAATGACTCCTTGTGAAGCAGATAAAGCATTCACTCACGTGAGGACTGTGATTGTCCATAGGGGAGGGGTAGTAGAGGAGCCTTGAGTGGTATCTTGGAATACTTCAGCACCGGGTTAGTGCGGTACACTTGGTCGGCTTCACTCTCAGTCATTGTGCTCTGTTTACGCAGAAAAAGGAAAAACGAAACTTGGGTTAAATGGAATATAGCAACAAGTTTCAAGAGACAAAGTTGAAACAAAACCGTAGGAACGAAACATGTAAGGGCGCGGAGAAGCTAGAGCGCTGATTCGCCTCGTGTAACCGAGATAATTTTTGCGATAATCTTTGATCCGGTATGAAATTGCACGAATTCAAACAGAAGGAATCAATGGAATTCATAAAATTGATAAACTCTGTCTTGGGCTCAAGGTTTTTCTCAAACTTTCTCTAAGAGGTGAATGGCCGTTACGACTAGTCGTCCAGTGTGTAAAGTACCTGAGCATCTATCACTGATGACCTATACCAAGGAAAAATACTAAAAGTCGAATAGGGTCACGAAAAATCCAATTGAATACTCCCTACTCCTATAAATTGATCGATTCAAAATAAATATAATTTGATTGTTAATATCACACAGTTACCTTTAACTCTGATACCAACTTCTCGAAAGCTGTTTCAACTGGTGGTTTAGAATCTATTACCTAAATTTTTTTTTTAATAAGAACAAGTATACATGAAAAAGAAGTCCATTAGCAACAATAATAATGATAATGATAATTACTACAATGACACAAATGATGACGATCAATTAACATATCCAGAAACATCAAACGTTATGCAAAACTGGTGCAAATACTGTCACAGAGTTTCAACACGGTATATGTAATTAGTGAAGGTATTCAATATTGAAGGGAGATTAAAGACTAGAAGACCTGCGGAAACTGGACAAATGACATCAGGGCCCAGTTGTATAAAGAGCGGATAACACTACCCAACGGATAAATCGCTATCCAGCGGATAAGTAATAGCAAAACGTATAGCGTTATCCACCGGATAGAGATTTATCCAGTGGATAGCGATGTCCAATCTTCGAAAAACCGGAGCCAGGTGTGTAGTTGGGTATGTTTCCACAATGTGTAAGGAGATTATAGAGGACGGAGAAAAATGGAAAACCTATTTATAATAACCCCTTGGGCGCGAACTCGCGAGTAACCAGCTTCCAAGAGTCGCCATTGGATGATGATAAAATAGTGGTAGGTTGGAGTTTGTCCAACTTATCACAATCGCACGAAAATCCAAACAGTGAGAGAGAGGCTACTTCGTTTCTCTAGCCTAACTAACACTCGAAACCAGTGTTGAATACATATACATGGATTAGTCTTTTAGGATAACCTCAAGAGGGAGATCGTGACCGTAAGATCCACGAAAACAGATATCAACCGCCACTAACTAAAATATAATTGTGAATCAAACATTTAGAGTTACGGAAGATCAATTGGAGAATTTTCTAAATTACCTCTTGAATTTCACTCGCCCAACGGATTGCCTCTTCCTGAAGTTTTGCATGGAGAACGTACGATCGCTTTCTGCCATTTACGATAAATGTCCAGTCACCTGATACCGGAAAAAGGATTTCACACATTACCTCACCAATCTGTTCGATCTATAATTTCTTGAATGTTTTTAGAAAAGAAAAGCACGCACTTGCTGCAGTCATTCATGGCAGTTTAAGTAGTTTGAAATGTTGGCTATTTTATGATTGCTGTCAACGCAATTTTTTACAACCAGCTGAATATCTAACCTGATAGGCCGATTTTTTTTTGAGGAGGGGAGGAGAGGGACAGGAACGTCAGAGTCGAAAAACCCATCAAAAGACCTCTTTTTTTTTTATTCCAATCCTCTCAGCTCTTCAAAAAGTACACAAAGCCGCCAGCTACGCAGGCAACTCAATTCCAGCTGCTATCAGAGGACAAAATTGGGCATTAAGGCGAATACATCAAAAATATAACACGTAAAGTAGATTTTGCCATTTCTTTTTTAATTTTTGCTACTTCATCCATTTCTTAATATACCCATGGGTATCTCACCTGGTTCACGTTCCTCTGGCGATACAACAGAGCAAAGACTGTTCAAGACAATAGATCCAAACTTGGGGCTGTTTTTCACATATGATTTGTAGTAATCAAGTGAATTTCCTGTCAGAACGCACCACCTGAAAAACACACACGCCAATTTCAGTGAGGTGGTATTTACACCATCAAGTTTCCATTGACTGCTGCACTAACCAAACGAAAATTTATTGCAACAGATTACAGCGAGGAAACTTAGCTTGTCGCAGAAAATACTAGCCAGAGCAAACTTTTGAAAGTAGAATAAACCTTTGACCAGTCTTCATCTTTTCAACTGGTAACCGGTAATATTCACCGCCAACAGTACCTCTTATTGCCGCCTAAAATCGCTCGGTATTGAAAATTTAACAGGTAAAAGGATTGCTCTACCAGTTTGAAGACTTATTTTACCTGTCGTGCTTAAAATAAAGGAGAACACTGTTAAACCATTTACAACATTTTTCTGACAAGTTTCCTTATCAAGGTCTCTGCGCCGGGAAATCTAGCCCTTAACAGGTGTCCTAGTCAACCTCCTTGTTAGAGGCAAGACATTAAATTCACAGTTTATCCACCAACCTCTTTCGTCTCGAATCGTCATTAGCGCCCTCTTTAATGAGCCAGCCTCTCTCAATCGTATCAGCCACACCTTCGTCGATTTCGTGCTCCTTACACTGTTGTATAGCTATGATAAAAGGAGTCACACGAAATGGGTAAGCATGTTGAGCTACGACCATTTACAAGTTGCTGAAAATTACTTCAATAAGGAAGAACACTAGAACGTTTTCCGAAAAGTATCGTACAAGCAAAACAAAGGAAAAAAACTATTAATTAACCCTTTCACCCCTAAGCGTGACTAGCATCTAATTTCTCCTTACAATATCACCACTGAGTCGCACACTGATGTCATGAAAATAAAAGAAATGATCACCAACTAAAGAAACTCTTGATTGTTAAACAAATTCTCCTTGTCAGCACCTTAGTAAATGTACAAAGAACAGTATGGAGAATATGAATACTGATGTTAGGGTGTGAAGGGTTAAACTCATGAGAAATACCACCTATGGCGTTAAAGCTTTCTCAGTTGCTGTAACCATCCTATGGACTGGCTTGGCAGATAAGCTCAAGATTATTGGCCTTTACCCACATCTTTTATGAAGGACATCATTCAAGACATTTTTCTTCCAATTTTTTTTTTACTGCTAATTCGCTTGTGACTCGCTCATGATCTCCACGACAGGAGCATTGTCACTTATTATAATGTTACTTATTATTATTATTTGTGTGATTGCAGCCACATACCTTCCACCCATCCACTGACCTCCTCGGGAGAATCTGTGATAAAGTTCATCACACGATTCGCGGTGATGAGAGTGAACGAATTGGCTCTGAAACAAAACGGATTCGGTCATGAATTGACAAACGAACACATTTGAAGACCACGAAGGCGAACATTTCAGACAAAAAGGCAATATCGGTAATGGAGCGAAGTCCTTACCGGAACAAGGCTTCAATTGACGAGCAAAATGTAAAAGTTTTCCTTGGGAAAATAATTCCAAGGACCTTAAGAATAAGCAACCATAGTGTTCTCACACTAGTGCTAGAATCAATTACCATAGCAATTTTTATCAGCTTTGTTTCATAGTACTGATAAGTACTAATACGACTCTTAATCGTAGTAAAAAAGGGGAGGGGAGGGGAGGGGAGAGGGGGTCACGATAAACTTTGAACTGTTGGCCATGACATTTTGAACAGGTGCACCAAAGAGCCAAGATACATGTAACATAGCTCTGGTGCAAATTATCCTGCATTATAAATTGTGGACTTACTTGTTGGCGACTCCACCAGGTGTACAGGACTCTATCATGGCTATATCAATAGTGCCCTTGAAATAAGAAATGAAATCAAGGCTTCTAACCCAGTCTGTCAAGACTTTCCATCAAACTTTGGACAGAGATTTTAAACAAGAATACGATTTACGTGATTAAGAAAGTAATCTTCGCAGTAATGAACACTACTCGAGCAGTAGTGAAAACAAGGCCTGAAAAAATTTAAAATTAAAATGAACCCGTGAAGTGATGAATTAATTCACCACTTCACGAGTTAATATAAAACCAACATAATGACTATCATCAAGTTGGCTTGTTAGCTCAGTTGGTAGAGCACTGCACCGGTATCGCAGAGGTCATGGGTTCAAATCCCGCACAGACCTGAATTTTTTCCAGGCCTTGTTTTCACTACGGTTCGAGTAGCGTTCATTACAGCGAAGATCGCTTTCATACTGACGTCTTTATCCGCGGTTCACATATAAAATTTCATATATCCACAGTCATTAAGACGATTTACGTTTTATCTTCAGCCAACAGCGCCTATATGTACAGACAATTACCTTTTGATGAAAATTGCCGTTGTTCGCGTTTTATTATTATTATTTCTTTAAATAGATTTTTTTAAACAATGATTAGCCTATTCCAGGCATTCAGTTAATAAAAGAGAGCTAAATAATAAACAGCGCGATAGAGGCGGCGGAGGGAAAATGCGGAAGAAGTTTGGATAGAGTTACACGACCCGAATCAGTCTCTCTCGGTTGAATATCCTCCGATACTATCTTGTCGTTTATTATCGTGCCTCGTTGTACTTACTACACACCTGCAACAGGTTAAATAACCCTTAGCCAGAGAAAATAAAGGTTTAAGTGTGTCGTAAATGCATTTCAGACTGAATTTATCAACGATTATTAGTGAAAGAATAACAAATTAGAAGACAGCAATAGTATGTAACAAATAACACCAAATAACCATAAGATACTTTATAAGATACTTTTACACTGTGGAAATAGAAATACGCACGAAGAAAGCACAGGAAATAAAAAGCCTTACCACTGCATGTTTGACATTAGCTGACTCTTCTCTCATTCCTTTCAGTTCTTCTTCGGTAGCCCTATGTACACGATTTAAAACGTTGAACCACTGGCTACAAAAAAAGAAATACAACAAATAAAAGTACAGTTAGTACAAATGCTAACATTGAGCATGGTTTTTTTTTGGTTGTCTTTCTGTAGCTTTCTGTAGCTTTACAACGGAAATGCGAAAGTTTTCTGAAATAGTCCCTGAATTTGCCAAGCCATACATTCGCAGAACTTCTTTTTTAAAAAAAATTATTTTTTAGAGTAAGGTGGTCTCTACCATAAGCCCGACGGTTTCTTGAGGTCTCATCGCCTTATAATTATGAACGTGTAAGTTTACATATCGTTTTTGATTAAAGAAAAAAAAGGCAAATAACTGTGGATGATGATAACAGTCGACTGATAACACAGTTATATTACACAATTTGATATTAAGCTTTTTAAAACACTATGGCTATACAAGAAGTCAACAGAGAAACGAGCTCAAACTCAAGTTACTTCCAGTCATTGGTGCTCTCTGCAATCACGTGATATGTCCTATTCTCCGTAATAATACTGAAGCCATTTTCTTTCACTCCATCGTCCACAATGCGTCTGTATGTTAAAATGGTAGTACATGAATCTCGTCGTGTGTTGCTTACAAACATGCTTGTAATTCCAGAAACTTTCCAAATTTGCATAGCTTCACACATTCAAATGTTTTTCAAACTTTTTTGTGTTGAACCTAAAATTGAAACCTCAACACCTGTGTTTTGCCTCTTAACGTTAGAACATTCACGATGGGCATTGAAATCTCGTCTTTTTTTTCGATATGCCGACGCCATTCTTGTATCTAGACTAACATACCCATCGTCGTGCAAAATGAAAATGGCGCACATTTAAGTGGCGTCGTGCACATGAAAATTACATTTCCATTTGAACCAACTGCAAAGGGAAAAATTGCGTCCTCGAAAGTAAAAACGAAAATACATGTATAACATAGATAAATTAGGAGCGATTCTGGGCGATTAAAGAAGTGCATATTGTGTCATACTCCTACAGGTTACAGTTCAAAACAAAAGTATCGCTTCTATGTAAGTTGCGCATGTTCAAGGTATAGAAATGGCCTGCACCTAGATTTCCAAAAATGCTCTTCTTCGCCTACGCAACGGAAAGGTCTAGGTATGATCCTGAAAACATGTCTACATACACTGCATTTCTGATGTCAATAGTTCCCAGGCTTTTGGATCCTTCCTGGTCACTCTCGTGATAAGTCAGAACATTGTCCTTCAGCACAAACCATCGGCGTTTCCAATTGCGCCTAAAGGAATTAAGAAATCGGGTAAATGGCTTCTTAACTATGATTAGTGATTTGATTATCAAATTAAATTGTACTTTATTCCCCTTATCCCACCCTATATCGTCTACTATCGGTTAGGACGCCAGATGGGGGTCACCTTGGCGCATCGTCCCCACTCCCCCGACGACTTACTTTGCACCCTCCCTTCCCCAGAATTATCTCCGGTTGCAGGGGTACTCCTGAGTGAAGCAAGGTATCGTAATCACCACTCCTTTCTTTTTCCCGTTTGTTTTTTCTTTGTACCTGTTCGTTTGTTCCTTTGCTTGTTTTTTTGCGCTACGATTGAATTACAAAGGGACTCCCTTTTCTTATACCTTGATAATGTCGTTGTTCCGCCACCTTTCTTCATTAACCAGCCACATTTCAGAGCATCCTTTAATGAACAATTGAAAAAAAAGGGTCAAATATTGCAGATACTAGCAAAATTTCAGTGATAAAGAACCAAGATTCTGTGAATTAAAAGCCCACTTAAGGTATTCAATCGCCCTTAACAAACGCAGTTATAAAGACAAGAAAAAATAACATTTGCTCTGACGAAGGGCTAACGCTCAAAACGTCACCTTTGAAACTCTTTACGGTGGCCAATTTATGATATCACTCGGTTTACAATACTAAATTAATCACAACAAAGCTTCACAGATAACGGCCACGTGACTTTTCAATAGTCAAACCTGCTTTCCTCTGAACCACATGAAAGTGTCGTCTCTCAGTACGCACCAGTGCTTCTTCCACAAACTCAGTAAACCACCTGGAAGATTTTTAATTTATTGATCTCTTAAGTAATTTCCCCTGTAATGTTATGCATTTTCTTAAAAATTAACATAAAGAATTTCGTGAATTCAAAGTATGTAACACCCGCCCACTGATAAGTACATCCATTTTTACATTATTTTTCGATCACATCCAGATGACTTATTCGCTAATGAACAGACTTGACCCGGCCTTTGCCACCAATAATATTACTTCTGACCTCTGACCTACTGACCTCTCATCATGAGGTAACCCTCTCTTATTGGCAGATCCTGAGTCTCGTACAAACTGGGTGGTCTTTCCCAGGCCTCCTCTGAATCTTCATCTTCTTCATCGCTATCCTCCAGCTGTAAAGTGAGATAAATTTTCATTTTAAGCAAATAAACAAAGAAACAAACAAGCAAAACAAACATCGCCCTAATCCAGCGCCCCTGCTTCAAACATTTCCTGGTTTCTCCGCGCGGGGTAGTCTGGGTAACAGCTAAAGTTTCTAACCGAGAATACCACGCAATGACCAAGGAGAGGGTTCACAACCAGTCCACTAGATATACAGTACAGCGCACACAGCAACAAGACCAATGCACTTTCCAAAGCACGAAAAACGAGTGACAAGAGGAGAGAGGGGGTGAGAATGAAGGGTTCCTCAACAACAAGATGAAGGTGAGGTAGCGACTCCCGCACCCGCGTTTTCGTAGTTGGTGGTGGTTTTCCACCTTTTTAATTACAAATTGTGACTAGCACCCCCCCCCCCCCCCCCCCCCTCCAATTAGGCCTTTCATCTCACTTAAAAACGCCTACAGTATTACCTTCAGCTGTCTGTCTAACTCAGCAATCTGAGCTGCCGCCTCAGCCTCAGCTTCTTTACGAAGTGTCTCCTCTTCTTCTGCTTTCTTTCTGTTAGCACAAAATCGACGAACAACACGGTGTGAATTTTCGAGTAACCACACAAAAACTTTGAGCATGCCAACCCATTTTTATCAAATGCGATCCCTTTGTTGTCAACGACTAGAGGGTCTTTTTCAACCTGACTGCCCCTTGTCCTTGGTTACGACCTCAAAACGTAGAAATAACTTTACAACCCTTAGAAAAAATCGACACATTTCCTGGCAATAACTCACACCATACCACCCTTATTGTTGATTGCAATACGTGTTATTTAGTTTTGCCCTAACCGCGCGACACCGGGTTAGATATGCATAGTATGACTTAGATCATGTGCTTGTGAGAGAATAAAGTTTTGCGTTTCGCGGATCCCGTTTTCTCTTAGACTTACAAATCTCGTAAGTAGTATTTCGTTTCGTTTAGTCTCCTTTTATCAAATATTATAATAATTGTTTTTGTTTTAAAAAATAAGATCGTATGAGTCAGATTAAACACTATAAACAGATAACGAGTTGAATATTTATTTACACTTATGTCACAACTAGTTCAATTAAAAAAGTATACGTTTTCAACTAACCTCTCGCTAATCACGTGTATTCTGTTGTAATTACCATAGAATAATGAACTATTACACGAACCATTTTGACTACAAACGTAGTTCATACTCGTACTACACGTATTTCACAAACAACACATAATTACCTGGCTTCCTCTTCTTCACGAAGTCTTTTCTCCTCTTCTTCCTGACACGAAAAACAAACGCACGTTAGTTAATCTGACCACTCTTCCCTCCACAGTGGCTCACGTGACAACTTATTTTTGTCGCGTATGAGCCATGATGAAAACATGGGTACATACAGTACCACTCACGTGTACTACAGCACCCCACACGCGCGTCAAAAGCGTGTTACATGTGAGAATCACACGCACCTTGGAGCGCGTGGTAACTAAACGCGCGTGCAGTAGGAAAATTACACGCGTGCAGCGGTTTATACGCAACTGCGTGTATTTTAATACGTCCAACAGTCTCTTTTCATTCACAACACACATTTGCGTGTACTCTTTCACATGAATGCAATCACTGTGAGCATTTCTATGCGTGTACTCTTTCACACGAATGCTATCGCTGTGGGCATTCGTATTTCACTCGATGTGACAATTTCTAAATGCATTCCTGCGACGGAAAAATACAAAGTTGATCATCTAAACATTATTCGCTCTAACATTACGCCCTTAAGTTAATCGTATTTTCGTTTAAATAATTCGCTTCCCTAATGCCGAACAAAACAAAATAATGCAGCATATCAGAAAACTTTAAAATTGAATTGCACTATCTTTTCAGGAAGATACAGCTACATCTTTGAGATCAAAATGCACCAAGGAACAGGAAACAACAAAAAATCATTTACCTTTCGGCGAGCTTCTTCCTCTGCCTTCCTCCTGGCCTCTTCTTCCAGTCTCCTCGCCTCTTCAATCTCTCTTGCTTTTGCCAACACCGCTTGTCTCTGTTCTTCTTCTTTTCGAAGTCTTTCCTCTTCCTCCTCCCTCCTAAGCCTGGCTTCTTCTTCGGCCTATTGGAAAGGACGACAGATTTGCGTTTTAACGATCTACAATCTAACATCAGTATGCACATTCTCCATACTGTTCTCTATACATTTTCTAATGTGAGGGTCAGGAGAATATGTTTAACAATCGAGAGGTCCTTTAGTTGCTAATCATTTCTCTTATTCTCGCGACCTTGATGCGACCTTGATGCGTGATTCGGATGACATTCCACGCTTTTAACGATTCATTCAAAAATAATTTTTCAAAATAAAAACGTTTATGGGCAAAGAAAAAATGCAACTTTTGTTGGCCACGATGAGTTAATCTTACAAATGAACAACAATTATTTGAGACATGTACCTCAGCTGAATGTGTTGTTGTACTTTTCAAATCTAAACGTTACTCCACTTTACCTTTCGACGGAGTTCCTCGAGTTCCTGAATCTTTCTCTCCTGTTCGAGTCTTTCCATTTCTCTGCGCAGAAAAAGATCGTAACGATTGCATCTTAACAGAAGTAATCAAGTCCATTCCATTTACGTGACTTATAGCTCACGACAATAGTTCTTGCCCATTGAAGAACAAATTTTAGAGAATTAGATTTTGTTCGTCGCAGAATACGTCTAAAAAGTTGGTGAAGTATTTACCATTAAAAAAAGCTGAGAAGAAGCGATACAAACCTCCTTCTTTCCTCTTCTCTTTTTCTTTCTTCCTCTCGTTTCCGTTCCTCTTCGATTCTTTTCTCCTCGAGGAGTCTTTTGAGAAGTGCTTGAGCCGTACGCCGTCTTTCATACTGAAAAGCAATTACGATCTCTATATCCACGTCGTACGTGTTCAGGTTCAAAATTTGCGAACGGCGAATAATAAAAGCAGAGGTTCTGGATTCATTAGAATTCTACACAGTGTCTTACCTTTTGAATGACAATAGCCGCCAACCGCTTCTTGTGGTAAAGTTTGCGATAGTAATGGGCCTAGAGAGAAAACGAATACCACATTTTCTTAAGAAGTAGGTATTTTCTTACACACAAGACAACCTTGCCCATCTTGATGCTAACCATAGACTGGACGCTACTCAAAATTAATGTGAAGCTAGTATATAACCAACAAAAGCTTTCTCACAAGTCCTCTTTAGCATGCATAGTGGAGCACTGATGCCCGTAATTGGAACTGAGGAACTAATTTTCGTCCCACGGTGTTCCAGGTTTAAAATTTCAATGACTTAGGAAAAGATTTCCAAGACAAGTTTCGTTTTATGTGAAATGATCTTGGAAACAAATTATCCTTAAAAGTGAATGTTCCAAAAGGAGACAAGAAGAGATTCTAATCAAGTAGTAACAGCAAACTATATTATACAAGGTTAGGGATTCCTAGTTGATGTAAATGAATCCGAGGACTAGACGGTTTAAGCGAAGCAGCTACTTAATTCCCCTAAGATATAAATTTCTTCACTTATACCATCCAACAAGGCTACAGATTCATGGAACAGAGACTTGAGATGAGTATTTATCTGTAACCAGAAGCATATGAATTCTTTGTATGCTTCGGCTAAATCTAGAATACCTTGTAGTTCTTTTGAATCAAAATTATGTGTTGGCGAATCTTAAGATATTTCTTCCGTTGAAGGTAACCAATGATTCTTCGTTTGATAAGCATTGCAACAGCTTCCAACTGCTCATTTCTCATCCGCTCTATCGTGTATTCCAAGTTGTCTTTCATAAAAACCTGTTAGACGAGAGCCCAAAGTCAGCAAAACAGGTACTTAAAATACAAATCAATCAGGGCGTTGACCGGAAGATGTGAAATTCCCCAAAATGTTTTTAGTTCTGAATGGAAACGATAGTCTTTGTCCCCGAACAGCTGCACTGTAAATTATCGCTTAACTAATACTATTTCCTTTCATAACCGAGAGTTTAATGCACTAAAAACAGTCCAAAGCAGCTGTTTTGGACGAATAGTCGCTAAAAGCAATTTAAGTGAAGTTTTTAATCAAATTTAAAATGTTAGCTTAGGGTTATTTGCATTTTACAATAAAAATCCTTGTGAACCAATTATCTTGAAATTTTAGCCTTTACCCCACATCAAATAAATCAATTCCTCAACAATGAAATTATCAGCTTCTTCACCTTGGTATTCCCAAGTTTAAAGGACTGTTTCTCGGTGTCAAACTCTTGAAGGAGCATGGAGCAATCACTTTTATCCCCAGACAAATTCTTCCCACGGAAAAGCACTTTGTATCTAGACACAACGAATACAAGATAAATTTCTGAGTAAAAATTTCTGAGTGACATTGCGTGACCCTACGTGAACTGACATGACATGTGACAAGTTAAGACACGACGTCATGTAACGCGGTATGACATAACACAGAAACCACCTCTTTGATAGGGGCCAATAAAGACATCCTTCCCTGAGTGCAATAACTTTGACGATAACTTTGTACCTGAATAAGAAGTCCTCATAGGTTCGTCTCACAGGATACCCAGCCCGACGAATCCGAACAGTCTCCAGCATTCCTGAATACCTCAATTGATTGAGAACAAGCTTGGGGTTAAAGAACTGTGGCAGCTGTAAATATAAATGTAAACCTGGCATGTAATTTCACCTGTGGAAACAATGGCCCTTAAATATTATGATGTGGTACGTTACAGTTGTATTACGAGTCAGTGGCATGAAGTCCATCCATCAATCCATCCTGAATCGCCACAGCCAGACAGATTTAACGTACCTTCTTTTCATTCGGTTTGACACAACGTACAAAATAGGGATGCGACTGGCTCAGTGTGGTCATAAGTGATGCTAAGGATGTCTAAAAACGAGAAAAACAACAACAAGTTAATCAACTGGTAAATTATAACTTTAAATGGGAATTTGTCGGAGTTTAGAGGCCTTTGTGAGAGGACACCAACAGAATCATCACTTCAGATGAGCTCGCCGGCAACGTTTGTAGCAAGTTTATGGCAGTAATATCACGTTGATTTTGCAGATACAACGAGACGCGAAATGAGCAAACGCCAAGGTGAAAAATCAACTAGACTCAAATACGCAAGTGTCTTTGTAACTAAGGGTGAGAGAATTTCCCAATCCCTTTACTTTTGTCCACGATGTGAGACTTCAACAGCCAAGCGCGCACAACACCACCAGGCTAAATAGAAGAGAACAAGAGAGTGCAGGAAATGTTGTTATTTAACTAAATATCGCCAGACAGACCTTGAACTGTGAGCTAACAGTTGGTCTCTTCCTTGAGGACTTCTTGGTTCCTGCCGTCGGTACAGAGGGTTTCAGTTGTTCAACGAGATCGTAAATAAAGTCCGACCTAAAAAGAATTCATGAGTTTGATCAGTATCAAAGCTTGAACACTAATCGACATCAGTATATGATATCCAGAGCTGCCCCAAGAAAGGATAGTAATTTACATATAAACGATTGCGTGAAATTTTGCGGCCCCATCGACCTTACACTCGCACTCGATATATATCGCTGAAATAATTCCACTCTAAAAAACAAAATCTTGGTAAGCATCCGCAAATTTTGGAACTCTAATAACTTAAAAATCTTAGAACCAATCCGAGATATAATTACAGTCAAGGGTGACTTTTCATATAATCTAAAACAATCGCATTCAATTATGCCGCGAGTAGTTTGTGGACGAAAAGGGCACGAATGGAGTATTTAACTTTTAAGGGAACCTGGGACGAGCATTTACTTAGGTGATTTAAGGACCTTCCTACACTGTGGGCGTTGAATGAAAAAACTCTTGAGGCTAACGAGCCCCGTTCTTTCAAGTTAATGATTGGCTCCTCGCCTAAATGTCCAACAACTTACCTGCTCTGCATTAGAACATTGAGGATCTCGTCTCGAAAAGCATCCCTAAGAAACACATACCGCATTTTAGTTCAAATACTTATCCAATCACATCTCCAGGTTAATTTTTGAAGCTTTTTTCCTATCTTTTTTCCAAATCTCTCAAACCTTTTCAAACCTAAGCGTCACTTCGGACAAAGCAAAAGTCGAAATTCTCGTATGACGTCAGTCGTCCGTCTGTACTCTGATAGGTCAAAGACAACGACCAATCAGAGTGTGTACTATTTGGTTCATTGTGCCGACTGTTCTCAGATTGATTCAGGTTTCAGCCTGTGTACCTCCAGAGAAATTTCAACGCAAGATTTACAGTTAACGACCAACAAATAAAATCTGTCGTGGCTTAAATAGCTTGGTATAACCGAAGCTGATAATAGCAGCAAAGATATCGAATAGTTCCACTGATGTGAGAGAATTACATGAGAACAATCTCTAAATTCATTTTTACAAAATCATGGAACTGTACCTGTTCTTTTCCAGAAAACCTTTGGTGCTATAAAATACCTAGAAAGTCAGACATTGGCGGTTAAAGAATAAAAAAATATTCTACCAGTTCAAAAATTCAGTGAAAGGTGGTTCAAACGATCTACAGTTGTACCTCTCCAGCATAATGCTTGATTCCAAACTTTGTGTTTGCCACCCGTGGTTTCACGTAAAAGGTGTTTCCCTGTTAAAGAAAGTATTTTCAAGTCCAAAACTATATTCGCATCGTTTTATTAGTCATAATTTTTAATCTACTCTGTCTCTCAGGTTCAAAACAGAGAAGTCAAGTATAACTTGTATTATAGCATCATGTGACCATGTACGGCATTACTTTTTAGCAAGTGAAGCAAGCTGATTATGATTGCTAAAAAAATCAAACCTCGTGACTTGAATGAAGTTTGTCTAACATGGATCCGTCGGTTCCTTTAGGAAAGTTACTTTCTTCATCAATCAGAGCCAGCACACCAAGTTTCTGAGGAGCGTTGAGGAGGAATGCGAAAATTTGTATTAATGCATTAAAACATATTTCACTCAGTATTAAGTGATGGTTCTTACCCTCATTAAGTGAAAAGGCAAGACAAAACAAGTGCAAAACACACACACACAAAACACATTGTACACGGTATAGAGCAATTCATTGAGACGCTTTTGGCTCATCAGCAAACTTTCATTGGAATCCGTTACAAACTCGTGCAATTTCAAAATTGCAAATTGCCGCAAAGAAATGTTTGCTCGAGGGAAGTTCATTTCTTAGTACCAATTGGCAGGTTGGGGTCTTATTGGTTCATGTGAAACTTTGCAGACTTAGTAGAATCTACATGGTTCTTCTGTTTGATTAAAAACTCGGATAGAGGCGACATCGTTGAAGTCAAGGCTCCAAACATGGAGACATGCAAGTAAAACTTACCTTTTCAATGAGGTCCAGGCACTCCCCATTATCCACCCAGTCAATATCTGCCCACTCCAGCCCCTCCCTAAGGATTGAATTAACAAATTTGGATTATCTACGCATGGTAGCCCGTCAACTCGCCACAACCAAACTCGCCACCACGGGGAGTCAAATCGCCACCGGTGGCGATTTGACTCGCTAACGAGCATTGTTAAAGGCAAAACGAAAAAATAATAAACTTCAAGATCCCAGCTTTCACTTCGCAGTGTTCGAGGCGTATTGCCAATTCAACGTCCGCTAAATCACGAACTAAAAGTTTTTAACTTCAGTGAATACCCTACACTAATGACATAGCGACCGTTATTCGTCGTGGACACCATTGAAACTGATCTGCATAAACCCCACACCAAACAACGATGTGAAATCATTCACTGGGTTTGAATTTCCTTGTTCGAGTTTGGTAAAATGCACAAGAATGTTAAAAATAACAGCAACTACAACAAAACAAACACCTGTTCAACAACACGTTGATTAAATACCTGTTGTACTCATGCTGTTCCAGAGAAAAGATGTGCTTGTTGAAGTACTGTTGAAGCTTTTCATTGGCGTAGTTGATATTGAACTGCTCAAACCTGTTAACCTGGTGATTGGACAAAAACATGTTCCTAGTTGTGGTGACTTAATAATATAGAGACTCTAAGAGAAGACAACTTCTGGTAGAGGTTCGTTCTTGTAGAAAGATCGATACACAAGAATCCAATGAAAATGAAAATATAAATATATAAATTTAAAAACTTACATCAAAGTTCTCAAATCCAAAGATATCTAGAACACCGATGGAAGAGAAGAGATCAGACCCTTTGATCCTTTGGTTTATCTTGTTGATGAGCCATTTAAATGTGCAAGCGTAGAGGTTCATTGCCATTGAATCTCGAGAGTCCAATGCCTGTGCATCAAAGTAAAGTTAAAGTTAGTACAAAATGACTGCTCACCAAATTGACCCTCTCTCTGTCTCTCTGATTTGTCACGTGCAACTGCACCCAAGACGCAGGGCTTTTAACATCATGGATGAGCCCACTCTTTTGCTTTTTCCTCTTTTCCGGCGAAGCATTGGGAGTAGGTCTTGCGATACTAATGACTCATCACTTCCACAACTAATCCTGATTTCTGTGGCATGGAAGTAACTAAGAGTCCAAGAGTACTGCTCACATTTTCAACTGCTACTACTACTTCTTGCATAGAATACTAATCTCTACAATTCGTAAAGTTTCCGTGAAAGTTCGCCAACTGTTGCCAAGAAAGATACAGTGGCAGCCGATTGCCTTGCTATATATATATATATATATAAATATATATATATATATATATATATATATATATATATATATATTATGTACACATCGCCCAGTTGACCCACCTGTTCAACAGAGAGCGGTGACTGGATTTCTTCGCCTCGGAGGATCATTGATTTCTGCGTCAAAGCATCCGTTAACTCGTAGATATCCACACGAAGAAGGTTTGCCACATTTTCTAAGACTGTTTAAGAAAATATAATTACGTTCAAGTTGTCGAGGATAAATAACTGCTCAAACCGCGAAAAAGACTCTTCACTTAATAGGCCATGTCCTTCTCGAAATTTGCAGACCTTCCCTTACTTCCCTTTTCAACAAAATAAATTCATTTCGCTCCAGGCGCACGTCTTATCAGTCAGTTATACCATAACGAACAGGGCTCCTACAAATACTGAGCCGGTGGCCGTAAAACTCTCCACGTTATGAACTTTTTCTTTTGTTCTCAACATTCAATTCAACGGCAATGACACGATCAAATTTTCTCGGTTTGGAAGGTGAACATAGTCACTTAGTTATGGAGGTGCGCTAGCGCGCGTAACGCTTAAGCTTAGCATACAGTAATGCGTTTGTATCACGAAGTACGGCTGCACTTTAATTTTCTTTCTTTTCTTATTTCAGTCGAAAGTTAGCAGAAAGTATGAGGAACTATAAAACCACTATCGATACATACCACTTTTCTCGGAAACTTGTGCGCCGCCCGCAGCCAGAAAATGGACATTCCCAAGCTGTAGGACTCCAGCAATGACTTGTAGGACATCAGAGATCTCCTCTTCCGTGAAGCACATCACTTTCATAGCATTCTGATGAAGTTTGGAGTAGAAATGTTAGAAAAGTGGGCAACAAAGATTTATTTCCAATCCATTTATGATCTAGTGAAGTATAGCTTCTTCTGTTACAAAACTACCTTTAAAATACCCTCTAAATTAACAGTCTCTTGTTTTCAGATTATGTGTGATGAATGTTCTTCACTATTGTTTTACGTAAGAGAATTAAATCGTTTTCTTGAAACTAGGAATCGAGATCCTCTAACAGTTCTACGTGCGTCTCGATCCTTGATTCTCGATAGTTTCTAGTATCGAGAATCAAGTTTCTAGTCAAGATTATCAACTTACTTTTAAGCGGTGATGTATATCGACAATTCTTGAGCATTGTAAGTCATCACTCAGTGTAATCAGGGAGATTTACATTAAAGACAAATTCATCCAAAATATCGCACTCTTCATTGCCTTACCATGACATTGTTGAAATCGTCCTTGTCATTAATCGATGGATCTCCATAGCAACCACTCTGTTTCAGGTAGTAATACTTCTCCGGAGAATTAAGAAGCAATGTACCTAAAACAAATCATAACTAAGGATGAGGAAACAGGTAGTCCCATACAGTTACATCTAAAAATCTACAATCATTTCACGGATAAATATACACGTACATCAAACACACCAAGGGAAAGACAGATATGGCTACTGCTCTCTCAAACAGGGTACGGCAAAAGTTACACTTAACTGCAAACAAAGCAAGATGGAAGAGTAGGCAAAAATAAAGGCCTAGTACTTGATACTGATACTATCGAAGCTATAAAGGGAGCAGCTGTAAGTATTGCACTTGTCCATTACAGTTTTTATTGGTAGTCTCCTAGCACCCATTGAAACTCCTAGCAGGAGGACTGAGTCACAGTGAGAGGCATGCCATGCAAGAAGAATATACAATGGCCTAAACAGTTATGAGTTCTTACAGGCACGTGCTTGAAAGGGCAGTGACCCACTGACTGCACCCTTTTTAACATGCATCATTCTCCATGTACACCTCTACCCTCAAACCATACAACGTACATTTAAATAATTATTCTTCCCTGTGCCAATAATGAGAGCCTTAAGATGTCAAAGCAATTGACTCATGTGACTCACAAGTACTCACTTTTTTGTTCATCAGATGCCCCAGCCAGAAGGGCATAAAATATGTGGTAATTTCTTTCACCTGGATTTTGTCTGACTACACGATTCTAAAGGAGAGATAGCAAAAACAAGATGATCTTTTAAGTTTTTGATCTAAAAATAAATAAAAGTAAGAACTTAATTCAGAGCACACACAACTGTTCTGGTCCCAGGAGAGTAAGCTCCTGGAAAGTCATAACTTTCTTCCTTTAGTAATTTATTAAAAATGAGTAAGTTTGTACTTTGATTATTGAGAGTTTATTCCAACAAGATTACCTAAAGAGTAAGTAACTTGTAAAAGGAAGATCTCAATTAAAACTTACCTTCTCCAAAAGGACTGTTATTTATATTATAGGTGTGTGTCAAGGTTGTAATGAAACGATGCTTCATTTAACACTTACACTGAAACAAAACATTATCCTAGCACCACCTGCATCATCACTTTCCTTGACACCCCCCCCCCCAACCTCACCAACACCATCCCAAAGCCTCCTGAACTACTTGATTGGGTTACCTGACTCATTCATCCTAGCACTACTTCCTCTTTTATGGAACTGCTTGTCCAGTAAAATAGTCACAACTCTCCTTCCTACTCATCCCTCCCTGCATATACACAACACCTCAACAACTTAATCAGCACCCTTAATTGGATCCACCTCTTTCCCACCCAGTTAGGTCTTGAACAAGAATATGCATTATGCTTAGGGCACGGCTATCTCTAAGTTTCAAAGCAGCCATTACATAAGAGATATCACCCATAGCAATGTAATAGGTGCCCAGATGTCAATGTCAACCTGTGAGTTAAGCCATAACCACTGTTACAGGTTACTGCATTACCACCCTTATAGACTGCTCTACAATTAGTGTATTCATGGAAATTCATGCTGTCTATGATAAGCCTTTCCAGTTTCAATTATTTTATTTACTAGATCTCTTTAGTCTTTACAAGGATACAGTCATTAATTTTTCCTCCGTCCATTTGACCCTTGGCATTGAACTGCAGTTGAATGAACTTTCCAAATCTACTTGAGTTGTTGTTGTAAACAGTTTTTGCATTTCCAAAGGCTTCCATGATGGGACTGTGTAAAGAATAAACCATGTCAAGAAATTACAAGATTGACGAAAACCCTCCAAGTGACCAATACCGAATTTCTCCTTACAATACCAATACAATATCAAGCAGACAAGTGATGAGGGTGAAAAAAAAATTTATAAATAAAGGGATTGTTTGTCGATCCAAAACCAAATTCTCAAAATTATATGGTAGACAGCGAGGAGAATTACTAATAAGGCCTTGTGAGTGAAGGGGGTAAAGTTAAAAAATAATGATCTTCACAAGTAAATTGCAATGGGAGAAATTACAGAAACAAACTTGAAAAATTTCAGGCTTTGACAGATTCAAATCTGACTTTCCCAGTTACTAACTGTGCTTCCAGCAGCTAAGCCATCTAACCACAAGGTAAGTTTAAATAAGTTCTTTACTCACACAAAAGTAAGTGTCATATCTGATGACCACTAATGAAATAAACTGTGCTGTATCATGAATAGTACTGTGCATTGCTGAAGAAACTGTGGTGCTGCATCATTGGGAGAGTATAATTAGGTAAATTGTATTATCAACTGAGTTGATAATGTAAGTTGGCCACAGTTAAGAGTTTCAAAGCTGAGGTTTCAAGCATTAGCCCTTCCTCAGAGAGAATGGTGAATGCTTGAAATGTCAGCTTCAAAACTCTTAATGCTATCAACTCCATTCATTACACCAAATTAACTTTTTGTACTGTATTTTGAATGCACTGCTCAGTTCCATACTTGTTCACTACTCAAGCATTAAATGCAGACTCCTATGCACTGTAAACAAATCTACAACTTAATTTGAGCCACTATACCACCATTATTGTAATAGTGTAATAAGGAACAGCATTGCTAAGTTACTGATTCATTTTTACCTGCTCTGCAGAATGGCATCATCTACATTTGGGATATTTTCCAATTCCCCAGTTCCTCTGCTGACATCTGATAAATATTTTAGTATAAACTTTGTGGATTCTGTCTTGCCTGCTCCAGACTCACCACTATAAATACAGGAAAAAGAAAAAAACCACATAAGATGATATTTCAGAGACATTTACAGAGCTATCTTTTAGAAACATACTACAAGTATAAGGCATATGCAATTGATACTGTTGTACAAATGAAGACTATACATGTGGGCATCTGAGGACTTCTCAATGATCTGATTGTTAATTCTCCCCTCTAGATGCTACACATTTCCTTCTAAATTAGTCACAAGCATTTGGTGGTACATCAAGATAACAATCCACCTGATCAGTTTGAGTCTTCTCATTAACTGTTTGCTGGATAATGACTGAATATTGTAGGGAGAAGTAACATGTTAATCACTTCTGGGTAAATGGAACACAAATTCCTTGATATCAATGCCACAGGTACATGTGTTGGGTACAAACAAGCCTATATAAAGTATAGCTTTACCTTATGCATATAGTAAGTACAGAGACTGAATCACTTTGTAATAAAATAACAACAAAAGTATCTTTCATACCTTATGAGTATGCATTGACTTTCTCCCTTTTTCCACATGGAATAGTAACATTCATTTGCAATAGCAAACACATGGGGTGGAAGCTCACCAATATGCCTTTCTCTGTAATCTGCCATTACTGATCTATCATAGAGTCCTTCAATTACATAATAAGGATTTACTGCACACAATATTGATCCAATGTAGGTCTGAAAAGAAAAGGATGTTTAAAAAGTGTGTATTTAATTATATCTAAACTCAAACATCATTGGGTGAAGAAAAGAAGGATGCATGTGTATTACAAATAATAGCAATTATAATCTGGCAATTATTTTTGCTCATGCACGATCGGTCTAGACATAGCATGTAACCTAATATCCCCCAGCTGCAGGAAGACTGGGTAATATCCAAGAATAACACCCAAGTGATATTCCTCTATTTTCAAACCTTCCATCCACTACAAAAAGTCTCTGTTTCAATTTTAAGTTAAGATGAGAGAAGGTTTTGTAGTTGCTACAGAGGAAAGGAAATCTCAATTTGTTCATTAACCTGTTCCATAAAATACTCAAGAAAGAAAATATCCCGAGCCGCATACAGCAACCTGTTTGTAAACATTTTTTCATGCGAGTTGCAAAATATGGTGACAATCTATACATCGATATTGCTGCCATGGCAAAGATTGTTTCCACAAGTTCTGGTTGCGCGTTTGTTTGTTTTCAGAGTGGGTTGAAGCAACTTCTGCAATGAAGACTTGAAACTTACATATATCTTGTCACTGGTGAATCTGAGATGGAGATTGTGCAGGATAGCAGCGTCATGGAGGTCACCTAAGTTGGCCATATCATCCACTCCTTCCACACTGGTCTGATGCATCGCTGTAACATTCTGTCTGTTTAGTGACTCTTTGGCAATATTATAGGTCTGGCAAATATGCAAAAAATAATATAAACAAAAATAATTCATCAATCTTAATATTATTTTCATTAATTTGTATAATGTAAAGTCACTCGTCTGTTTAATGTATTGATTCAATTATTTTTTCCTAAGCAAGTCAAGCATGATCCAAAAAGGATTACAGAAAAAAAGAAATGGAATTGTCTATTTCACAACTCAATGATGTCTGCAAGAAATTTTTGAAAAATTGTTGGGAGGTTATGACTCAATAGTACATACATGTATTTACTCTCCAGAATCAATTTTTTTTAATTTCAAGGGCAGCCACTCTTCCCTTCAGGTTTTTTCTAATTACAATGTCTATGGTTGAGAAGTTTGAGACCTTAAACTGGTTAAAAAATGGAACAGAAAAGACATTAGCTACAAGAAACATGACCTTCAAGATTGTAAATGGGATGACCTTGACTAAGCACTTTGTACATATGGAAGCCTTCGTCGATATATCGGTCACTACTTGACACTGAAATATTGGTGAACGGTAGGTCTTTGGCTGACTGACTGACTGACAGTTACCTGAAAACTGCTTAGTTGATCAACCAATATCTGACAAATGGTTGGCCAGTTCCTCAGTGGAGATATGTCTTATTACATGATCGGTTGTATTGCACATATATGATTGGTTTTTACTCATGATGTATTGGAGGACAGATGTATAGATGTCACCCTTAAACAATATTTTTGTCTCTTCTTTATAAAAAACACATAGAGACTACATTGTCATGGGTCTGTTCAGTAATAGACCAAAGAAGATGTCAAAATGCGTTCAGAACATCAGTGTCACAATCAGCAGCATAACCCAGTAATTTTATTTACAACTGTTTTCCTCACTTCTTCTCTACCAGTAAACCTTTTCACCCCAGCGCTAGTGTGCATATTCTCAATACTGTCTTCTACACATGATAAGGAGAATGTGTGTAGCAATCAAATGTTTCTTAAGCTGGCCATCATTTCCATTTTTCTAAAGACCTTCATGATTAATCCAGGGTTGATACCATGAGTAGAAAGTAGATGCTAGTCTCTCTGAGGGGGTTAATGGGTTATGGAATAGTTTCTAAAACAACAGAAACTAATGTCTTCAGATGTAAAATATCAAAATTTTAAATTCAAAACTAAGCAGTTTGTTTTCTAAAAACTAAAATTAAAATCCTCTCTTTAACAGACATGTATAATTAATGAATCAGGCACAAGGTTTGCTGAATAATTAACACACCATGAAAGAAAAATTAAAACAAAACTTTCATCAGATAATTGTTTTAAACGAAAATGATTATTCCTTTGTCAAAGAATAGTGCCGATCCATAGTGCAAATCCAGTATTGTTATTCTTAATTTTAATCGTTTGTTTGGAAAGCTTAGTCACACCTTTGAACACAGTGCCAAGTACTCGTTGATATCCATGTATGGTGACAATTGTGAAGATCTTGGCACTTTACAAGGTGTTCAGTAACAAATAGTCGATAGCAAAAATCAACTTTCCGAGAATTCGTCAAGAAACTTAAAATAGGAAAAATCCTATGATGTTTCAATTAAGCTCAGTTTTTTGTCTAACAAGATAACGAAATATTTCGCGAAGTAAAAATACATAAGATTAACTACTGAAATTGAAAGATTTGCAATCCTCTTAGAATTAGATTTTACGAGAATTACGCATATGGGTAACCGGATATGCATCCAAACTCACGTCTGAACTAAATCTCAAATTAGAAACCATACCATAATTACTGCATTATTGGCTATCTATATATCAGCGTGAAGTAAACAAACTAAAAGATGTGTCTCATTAACCACAAGTTAATTTACGATCTCGCCTTAATGTTGGATATCCCTGCTATCGTGAAAGATCATTTATAATTCAAACAGTCATATCTGTAAACTTATATCACGCCAAAATGGGAGGGCTAGTCCTGACAATTGTTGCAATTAGAACGTGCCGAGTCGTACACACTATCTTTAAACTTTCGTTTACATGAAAACTCACCTTATCATATTCTGTACGGAAAGTAACTTGTCCCCCTTTTGATTCTGTTACTGTGGCAGGGACCCAGTCTTTCCCCTCAAGAAGCCACACACGAGATCCCTTAAAATACAAAACCAAATCTTTGTAAGAGCAGATCCCGGCGAAAGAGGCACATCGCATCTCATTCCATCACACTTTGCCGCAAACACTGAACGGGATTTGTTCATAATTGATAACAACAAAAGCTCACCACTTCGTGAAATGATTCCATAGTTTAACTTCCCAATCACGGGCAACGTTTCATCAAGACATAGCAAGGTTTGCGAAAAGTCTGTGCGTTTGAGAAAAAATTGGAAACCACTTCCGAAATGGCACTGCTTTCTGCAGTTCCGATCGTCTTTCTAGTCCATATCGCGGGCGCAGGCTCTTACGGAACGGAAGGTCAGAGGAAGGGAGGTGCTTGATGACCGGTTGCGTACGTTCAATGGCACGACATCTATGGTCTTAAAATTCTATCACGGAAAAAATCAGATCTATGATTGTGTTGGAGAGAAGTTTACCAAAATGTGGGAAAAAGCCTTCAGTATCTCTTTATTGTTTCTTCTTTTGGTGAAAAAATTCAATGCATTTGTTTTGGTTGATGGCTCTTGACTCGGTGTTGTGGTATTGTATGCAACTGGAGGTTGATCGCTTCAGTGATGTCTGCATTTGAGTTTTGACCTAAAGACTGATTAGGGTTGAGAATTTCAATTTATTTTTCTAGCTTGCTTTCCCCTCCTCCTCTTGCGAAGAAGGAAAAAAATGAAAATACACTCAACAACAACTTTGATCGAAAAAGACGAACTTCCAAAGGTATTTTTCGAGTTAGGGGTGGGGGGGGGAGGGGAGGGGAAGAGTGGGATAGTAGATAAAAATTTCTGTCTCGGTTATAAGGGATGAGTGATATTTTTACGGTGAAGTCGCAGTCAATGATGTTCTGTGCGGCCATAAAAAGTTTGGATCAATGACATGTCAGCATCTGAGCAACTGCGTACCTACCCCTCCCCTTACCTAAATTTAACCCTAAGTAATTATCAGATGACTGTTGTTGAATTAGGGGAGGGGTGGATGCGCATTTGCTCAGATGCTGACATTGATCCAAAAGATTTAAAGTTTCGAAATGTTCGTTCCGTGTCCATTCCAATCATGTGAAAGTAGGAACCGAAAACCTATCTTTTCATTCATTTATTTTTTTTAACATGTAAATTAAAATTGACACGTGGTCAGCAGCTTATAATAGGGGATCGGGAAAGGGACAGGAAGGGAATTGAGTTATTCACAGTACAGAGCCTTTTATTCCTTTCACAAAGGCATGTTTCGAGCTAATGTTGTATAGAATATACCAGACTTACACAGTTGAGCCCCGATAACTCGAATTTCCATGGAAATTGAAATTACTTCGAGTTATCGGGGTTTCGAACAGGAAGACCAGAAACGCTTGATTAAAGTGGTTTTATGCTTATACATGTTTTATTGTAAGATTTATAGCAGTGTAAGAGCATTAAAACAAGAAAACAAAACAAAAAGTATGAAAACCACAAGTACTATAAAGTAGCCGCTCATCAGAATAATTAACGCTAAATTTCATAATCTAACATTTATTGAAAAATCTAGGTAATCTCACGATGCAAATAGTTATGGCTCATAAGTGCTCAAAAGTGAAAATCGACTTTGAGTTACCGAGGGTAAAATTACAAAGTAAAGTATCTGAAGGGAAGTAAAAATCGTTTCGAGTTAGCGGGGTTTCGAGTTACAGGGGTTTCGACTGAGTGATCGGGGTTAAAATTATAGTAAATATCTGAGGCAAATCCAAGGGAAATCAGTTTTGCTTTGAGTTAGCGGGGAATTCGAGTAACCGAGGCTAAAAGTTATCAACTTTACACTCAAAGGTACAAAACGTTGTACGAGTGGGAAGTAGACAACAGACAGACCCGGCCCAACGCATGTTGTGCTGTATCATTGCTATGGAGATTCGTATCAGTCTTTTCCGTTTCCTTTCAGCCAAGCGAAAGAGGCGTGCGCGGGAGTCACGCGAGGGCATCCTTGCCTGAGTAACCTGAGCTGAAGAAATGAGGATTTACGTAAAATGTTTAATTACGACTCGAACTGGAAAGCTTACATGGAAGTCGTGTGGTCATACATGTACATATACTTCAGAAATGGAACAATATGCGGACAATCTTTTTCTAGCTTGCTACTCTTCTATGTATGATCTAGACTAAGGTTGCCATTGACCGGAAAGGAATTGATAATGAATTTGACAAAGCTTTGAATTTCTCAGAGGGGTTTCTGTCGACAGAGTGCAAGGAAAAAAATTGGCCATAGATAATAAAGCTCGGATGTAATTAGGTTTTCAATTCTTTAATATCTCGAGGCATTAGTCTCTATAAAGCAGGAAAGAATAAAGAAAATTTATCAAAGCCACAAGCAGTCTTCTCATTTGGTTTTCCATCTTCTTTTTTTTAAATCATCATTCCTTACCTGGCGTTCATTACTCCTGTCTAGGTTGCTAAATCCTAAGTTTTTAGAGGTTTACGGTCGAGTCACCCGAAAGTTATCTCGCCCTAAGTCTTGTCGCCCAAAACTTTAGGTCATGTTGCCCGATTTTTTATCACATTTATAAATATATAAATGGTAGGCTATGAGAAAGCGCTCAAGGTATCGATCAATCGAACAACCTTGTTTGGTGTATTTCAGATCTAGGGGGTAGGAAATTCAATTTAGTTTCGAATATAGAATCGATCCTCGCAGTTATGAACACTACTGAACTAGTATTTGAAATAAGGCCTAAAAAAAATAATTAAGGCCCGTACGGGATTGGAACCCATGACCTCACAGGCGGCTCAAGCTCTCGTCTCAAGAAAAAGCCAACGATGAATTCATGAACGCGTCACGCGTTGTGTGACTCGGTGTTAAGTTACGGG